CTCCTCTCCTCTCCTCTCCTCTCCTCTCATGCATGTTGGTCAGCAAAGAGGATCAACGCTTTGATGAAGACTCACCTGGAGCAGAAGGAGGTGATGAAATGCGATCTACCATCACCACCACCACCACCTCCTCCTCCTCCTCCCTCCTCCTCCTTCTTAACGTCAGTTTCTTCTGCCGCCTCCTCTCCAGGTAAGGTGATGCTTCCAGGCTGTTCGTCTTTCTGGGACTTTCCCGCTCCTCCTCCTCCTCCTTCTTGCTGCTTGCCGCCATAAGAGGATTCCACTGAGATATCTCACGAGCCTTTAGAGGATGCGACAAGCGTTCGCCCAGCACTGCTTCCTCCTTGCGCTGCGGGGGTCGAGCACGGACACTTCCGTTCTCTCCTCCTCCTCCTCCTCCTCCTCCTCCTCCTCCTCCTCCTCCTCCTCCTTCGCCGCCGCCGCCGCCGCCTCTTTCAATGCCTCGTCCTTTCTCTCTCGCTTCTCCTCCTTTTGTCTTGGCTGCCTCTGCGATTCGCCTTGTCCGAGGGCTCGAGGCTGCCCCATCGCTAGAGCAGGAAGACTCTTCTTTGCCTTGTGCCTCCTCGCCTCTTGCTCCAACCCTGCTGCTACTACTGCTGCTGCTGCTGCTGCTGCTGCCGCTGCCGCTGCTGCTGCTGCCTCCTTCTCCGCCTCCTCCTGCTCCTTCACCTCCTCCTGCTCAACTCCTTCACCCCTTCGCTTGGCTGGAGTGAGGATCGGGAGTCTGCTGGAGGATAGCTTGCGGAGGGAGGGGTGAGAAGCGCGGACCAGGCGGGGAAGGAGCCGCATGATTCCTGTGTGCTGGTCCAGCCAGAACTTGGGCTGCGACCAGGAGGAAGAGACGCTCTGGGAGTGGGGGACGAGAGACATCCAGCAGTGGAGGATGAGCTTGAGGAAGCCCGCGTCTGCTAACCGATAGCTCTTGAGGTCCTTGCTCCTGTTCAGCTTCGACTCCTGCGAGGTGCTTCAGGGAGGCGAGGAGCGAGAGAAGATGAGAGCGGAAGCAGCAGCAGCAGCAGCAGCAGCAGCAGCAGCAGCAGCAGCAGCAGCAGCAGCAGCAGCAGCAGCAGCAGCAGCAGCAGCAGCAGCAGCAGCAGCAGCAGCAGGAGAAGAAGAAGTGAAGTACTGACCACAAGAGCGTTGTTCTGACAGTAAGAATGCTTTGCAATGAAGTTTTGGATCTCAGTGTGTAGACTGAGTATTCCCCTCCTTTGCTGCTGAGCCGTCGCGTCCAAAATCTTCAGCTCCTGCTTCAGTCGACTGCAAGAAATCAGAAGGCCAGGCAGACGAGTCAGCAGCCATGGTGAAGGGGAGGGGGGAGGCGAAATGGGCGTTTGGAAGGGAGGAGGGAGGAAGGAGTAGGTAAGATGAGGAAAGGAGAGGATGGAGGTAGGGGGAAGGGAGGAAGAAGAGCAATGAGACAAAGGAGGCAGGAAAGAGAGGGAGGAGGAGGAAGGAGGAAGGAAGGGAAGAAGCGAGAGGAGGAGGGGGGAGCACCTGATTTGCGATTCTTCGCCATGGACTTCATGGAAGGAGGCGATGGTCGACTGGATCCTGAAGGGAGCGGAAGCGACGGAGGGAAGTGAGCGAGAGGAGGAAAAGGGAGGAAGGAGAAAGGAGGGAGAGCTAAGGAGGGAAGGAGGAAGGAGAGTGATCAAGACGAGGGACTTGAGGAGTAAACCTGTGGTGCTCGTTGTTGACGTTCTTTAGGTTGCTCTCGAGTTGCCAGAGCGCCTCGTTCATCCTCTGCGCAGAACAGCTGAGAAGAGCAGAGACATGACAGCGACGGTCAGCTCACGGCCAGCTCAGCTTGCTCCGGACTGTTCGAAAAGGTGTTAGAGGAAGAGAGAAGGATTTGCTCCCTAGTAGTTGAGATCGTCCGCCCTCTCCTCCTCTGAACCAACTGCGTCCTCCTCCTCCTCTACTCCTCTTCCCCTCTCCGTTCCTCGCGTACTCATCCGGTTTTCTTTTCTCCCCCTCTCCTTCCCACTCCTCTGCTCTGCTCTGCTCTGCTCTGCTCTGCTCTGCTCTGCTCTGCTCTGCTCTGCTCTGCTCTGCTCTGCTCTGCTCTGCTCTGCTCTGCTCTGCTCTGCTCTGCTCTGCTCTGCTCTGCTCTGCTCTGCTCTGCTCTGCTCTGCTCTGCTCTGCTCTGCTCTGCTCTGCTCTGCTCTGCTCTGCTCTGCTCTACCTCGAAGAGATCAACGTCGAGACTTGGTTCATGGTTCCGATGGAATTGATTCCGATCTTCTCGCAGTTTCTGTGCTTCTGACGTGCCTGAGTGATAGTCAGAGACGATCCTCATACGAGTGAGCAGCAGCAGCAGCAGCAGCAGCAGCAGCAGCAGCAGGCTTGAGCGAGCAGCAACACGCCATTTGCTCACCATCGCGTGTTCTTTCGTCCCCTTGATCAACGCCATGAGGGAGGACCTTGAACAGACACGATCAGCAGCACAACAAACATCTCATAACCTTGTCACTTCTTCTCCGCCTCCTTCGTGAGCTCCTTGTCCGTCAGCCTCCAGCTCACGTTCCTCTTCACCTGCCCAGCTGCAGGTCAGCACGATTGGGGCAGGCAAGCCAGCAAGCGGCAACGATGCTGGGAAGGTTGACGCGAGTCGAGCAGCTGTCAAGAACAGAAGACCAGATCTTGTTTCTGAGGGCTTTCCTGTGCTCGTTCCGCTGGAAGTTCGTCAGCAACGTTGTGCAGACCTTCCTCTCAAGTTACCTTGCCCTCAGTGTCTTGAAACCCCGTCTCCCCCTCGTGCTCGAGCTCCTGGATCTCCGAGGAATGTTTCTTTCTCTGCAAGGCGCCAGGCTCGTCAAATGCAGAGGAGAAGTTTGGTAGAGAACACCTTGACGCACTTTTGGATATGATACAAGATGTCAACCAGTTGAACCTCACTGTCTCTGGCCTGCAAAGAAACCAGAAGTGAGAAACCATCAGGCATCTCTCAAGACTGCACCATGTTCTCTCTGCCGAAGTAGATCAAGTTCCTCAACAATCCATGCATCTCGTCGTTCCATTCCGCGATCTGTCTGACATCAGAACGTCTGTGTTCGTTCTCAGGCAGTCCTCACCCGTGGGACAGCTTCATGATTGCACGCGTATACCAGTGACGTATGATCGAATGTCGACAACTTCATCGGAGCATCTCCAAGGTGTGCAAGAACAGAGACGGCTGCATGCCGTATCAGTGCTGTTTCATGATGCACACATCTACACCTTGCTCCTTGAGGAGCTCAAAGAACGCTTTGGCATCATCGATCGGGTCGCTCAACAAGGGCGGGAACTTCCCATCGCAGATGTCCATGAGCTCTGAAAACGTGACCTGATCGCAAAGTTCGTCTCAAACATGCGGATGCACACAGACGGTTTCAGCAGTTGACAACCAAGACAGACTTGGCTCAACCAACATTTTCATGCTCTTTGTACCTTCAAGATCCCTCTTGTACTCTGCACAGAGATCCAGGGGTCATGGAAGCAAGCGTCTATGATCCTCCTCAAGATCGGGAGCTTCTTGCGAAGGATGTTGGGTCGGGAGAGGATCAGACTGGGGATGAGATAGACCGGTGAACACAAAGGAAGTATAAAGGAGGTAGAAGGCACCTGTCGATCTTGGTCTTCTCAAGGAGATGCGCTTCTTGTTTGCTCTCATTCACGCCGGCCATGAATCGTTTAAAGTTGGTGCGCAGGAAGTGAACTTCATCGAGGAGCACGAAGGAATCTTTAGGCAGTAACTTCCTTTCTTCTTTCTTGGGCCTCCGTCGAGAAAGAAACCGGTGCAAGACCTGCCTCTGAATCGAAAGCCTTCGATTGATCCTGATCTGAGACGAGCTCTGATGAGATGGAGTCTTGGGGATGACCACTGGGGAAGAAATTCGATGCAAAGTTCCTTGAAAGGCCCCCACCAACTGCACCTCCTCCTCCTCCTCCTCCTCGTCATCATCGTCATCGTCGTCGTCATCAGGGTCTCTTGGAGGCGCTGTCATCGTCAGGCACTTAGCAACTCTAGACAGAGAGGAGGGAGCAAGGACTTGTTCTCTCCCCCATGTCAGCCCCTAGCCTACATCCACGTCGTTCCAGTCTGCATGTCCACCAGACGTAGTATATTTTCAGCCGTTACATTTGACCATGTCAATCAAAACCGTTACTTTTTTTACTTTCTTTCACATTTTAAAAAAGTTACTTACGTTTGACTTGTCAGTCTAGGAGTCGCGTGACTTAGCGGGGGCCCGGGGGCCCGGGGCCTCTTGTAGTCAGTCACTCTCAACGGATGTGGGCCGCGGACTGGCCGCGGGCAGTCTGTTTCCGATACGTGACTGTAGGGGACGGAGTCCGGAATTCGGGAAGCAGTGCTGAACTTGCAAACTTGAAAGTTGAGTCAGGGGCTGAATGAGGGCGCGGCCGCAGTGAATAGATCATTGAGGGCAGATTGAGGCTGACTCAGCTGAATGAGGGCTGAATGAGGGCCGCAGTGAATGGCCATTGAGGGCAGATTGAGGCTGACTCAGCTGAATGAGGGCTGAATGAGGGCCCGGGCTGAAAAATGATCAGGGGCTGTATGAGCTGCTGTATGAGGGGCTGTATGAGGGGCTGTATGAGGGGTTCAAGTTCACGTGCCATCATGGCCCAAATCAGCGCTGCAGTTGCCGCCTAGCCCAACTGCTCGTGCTCCTCGTGCTCCTTGCTCAGAGCTCTTCTCCTCTTCTTCTACTTACCATCCTCCTCTAGCGCGTCTCCCATCCCCGCATCCTCCCTGCTTCAGCTTCAGCAGAACCAACCTCCCCCGCCACAGTACCCTCAAGGCAACGAGAGCTGCGGGAAATGAAGGTGAAGGTCATTTCGCGGAATGAATCGGATTACACCAGAGAGCGCAAGTCGGACATTGTGAAAGTCTTCCACAACCCAGGTTGCTCCTTGTTTGATTGCTCCTCCCTCCTCTTCCTCGTCCTCCCTCCTCCCTCCCTCCTGCCTTACTTGGCGTGCAGATCCGGCGTTGCATCCATTTGAACGAGCAAGAGAGTACAAGCGAGCGTTGAACGCTGTCAAGTTGGATAAAGTCTTCGCCAAGCCCTTTGCTCGATCCTTGTCGGGCCATCGAGATGCCATCTCGTGCTTTGCGAGGAGCAAGCAACGGTTGGTCGATGTGGCGTCAGGAAGGTCAGGGAGCAAGACGGTTGCTTCGCATGCGCTTGACATTCATGGCAGTTGCGACGGAGAGCTGAGGCTCTGGGACCTCTCGACCGGCAACTCTCGATGGAGCACGATCGCGCACACGGGCTTCGTGCGGGGAGTGACCTTCTCGCGGGACGGGGAGAACCTCTGGAGTTGCGGGGACGACAAGCTGGTGAAGATGTGGGGGAGAGACTATGAGTCAGAGGTGGGGGAGGAAAGGGCAGTCGAGCCTGAGCTCACCCTCATGGGCCAACACGCGTTCCTGGGCATCGACCATCACTGGAAGGAGTCGTTGATCGCCACGTGCGGGGTAGACGTTCATATCTGGGACCCCCAGCGATCAGAACCGCTCCACACGCTCTCATGGGGCAGCGAGAGCGTCGTGTCTGTTCGGTTCAATCCGGTCGAGCACAACGTGTTGGCATCGACGGCATCAGGTGATGAAGGGGAGGGTGCAGTGATGAAAGAGGGAAGGGACATGTTGTTTGATGCAAGGATGGTTGGTTGGTTGGTTGATGTTCTGTTTGCTATTGCTCTTTCTAACACTTACCTGCATTCGAACTTGCGACTTGTACTTGTACTTGTAACTTGATTCATCTTTCTCTATGTTTTCATTGCCGTCCTCGGCCCGTCCCCGTCCTCATTCCCGTCCCCGTCCTCATCCCCGTCCTCTTCATCCTCGTCCCCGCTGCCACTCATCCTTCTTCCTCACAGACAGGAGCATCATCCTCTACGACATCAGGACCGCGACCTCGCTCAGAAAGCTGGTGCTCAACAAGAGGAGCAACCGACTCTGCTGGAACCCTATGGAAGCTTTCAACTTCGTGGTTGCCAATGAGGATCACAACCTCTATACCTTCGACATGCGCAAGTGAGATGCCTCTTCCTCCTCCCCCTCCGCCATCTCATCCTCCGTCTCCTCCTCCTCTTTCACCACGTTTTCCTCCTTCTCCTCCTCCTCTTCATGCTCCCTGTCCCTGTCCCTCTCCCTCTCCCTCTCCCTCTCCCTGTCCCTCTCCCTCTAAGTCTAACTCCTTTCCCACAGGTTCGACTCTGCTCTGTGTGTGCACAAGGACCATGTGTCTGCTGTCCTCGACGTTGACTTCGCCCCAACGGTATGGGAGGGTTGATGACGTCATCGTCGCTGGTTTGACTCGCGAGGGACAGGGACGGGAGTTCGTCTCCGGCAGTTACGATCGAACTGTTCGCATCTTCAAGTATAATGCCGGGAGAAGTCGTGAGGTTGCCTCCTCGCCCTGCTGCTGCTGCTCCTCCTCCTCCTGCTCTGCTGCTCCTGCTCCTGCTCCTGCTCCTGCTCCTGCTCCTGCTCCTGCTCCTGCTCCTGCTCTGCTCCACTATCTCCTTGCTCGGACTTTTCTCCTCTGTTCTTCCTTCTTACCCTCCATCCCCCTCCCTCTGCAATTTTCCGTCTCTTTGACATCTCCTTCCTTGCAGGTCTACCACGGCAAGCGGATGCAGCGAATCTGGTCGGTTCTCTTCTCAGGAGACGCCAAGTGGGTCCTTTCAGCGTCTGACGACTTCAACATTCGCTTGTGGAAGGCAAACGCAAGGTGAGGACGAAGAGGAAGGAAGATTGAGAGCAAGCAGTCAAGAGAGGACAGCAAGAAGAATACAAGAGGAGATTGCTGGGCTCTTGTGGCAGAGCGGAGGAGGAGGAGGAGGAGGAGGAGGAGGAGGAGGAGATGCATCGGGCTGGTCCTGACATGTCCGGCAGTGAGAGCGTGAAGCCGCTGCTTCCAAGAGAGCAAAGGAAGTTGGAATATCTCGACAAGCTCAAGGACAGATTCAAGGAGGTAAGTCCTCTCCTGCTTCCTCCCTACTCCTCCCCTCTGGTTTCTCCGTCGTCGTTCCTCCTCGTTCCTCCTCCCTCCCTCCTCTCCCCCCTCCTTCCTCTCACCTCCCTGCAGACCGCGGACGTCAAGCGCATATCCCGCCATCGTCACCTCCCCAAGGCGATCCTCAAGGTCTGGAGGCTGCGGGAGCTGCTGGGGATGACGAGGATGGCAGGCTACGAAGCTCAAGGGCATCATCAAGGACTCGAAGAAGAGGAAGGAGAACAACGTCAGGAAGCATTCCAAGCCAGGAGCCGTCCCCTACGTGGCGGAGAGGAAGAAGGAGATTGTCAAGGAGTTAGAGTGATCGCCCATCTCCCCCCTCCCTCCCCTCCTCCCTCCATTCTCTTCCTCTCAGTCCCTCCCTCCTCCTTCTTGTCCCTCCTCCCAACTTTTAAGTTCGCTCTTCTTGGCCTGTAGACCAGTGATCCGTTCCCTGAATACACCTCTCTTGTAATCGTCATATAACCAGGAGTGAGCAAGGGAAAGCGGGGTACAGCAAGTGAAGTACAACAGTGGCACAAATGCCAAGAGCGAGAGGAGAACGAGTACGAGTACGGGAGGAGGAGGAGGAGGAGGAGGAGGAGGAGGAGGAGGAGGAGGAGGAGGCATCAGTTCCAAGGCTCTGCATCCTCCCCTACCACGGGATCGCTCGGCTTCTCCTGATCGTAAGAGAGCAGCTGACGAACGTTGCGCTCGATGCAGTCCACGTAGTCCTCGAGCGGGAGGATGGAGAACGGCTCCTCGATCTGCACGCCGAGCTCCTCGATCCCGAAGAAGAACACTCCCACAAGGGAGCAGACGGGGACCATAAGGAAGCTGTCTCCGAGCTCCTTCACCAGCGCAAACGGAAGCAGCAAGATCCACAGGGCGAGGAAGCGACCAGTGTGACGGGTGTACACCAGCGGAACCTGCGACGAAGTGAACAACACCGATGAAATACACCACCATGTTCCTCCTCCTCCTCGACATCCCATCAACTTCTCCCCTCCCCCCCCCCGCCTTCCTCTCTTCACTTCCCCTCCTCCTCCTCACCTCTCCCCTTCCCCTTCCTTCCCTCCCTCCTCCCTCCTCCTCTCATACCGGCATCTTCTGCAGCCTGTCACATGCTACCCATGCGCTGGTGAGCTCGTCCAGGTGGAGGTCAAATCTTGCCTTGGTACTCCCATCAATCTCCTGCGATCGCCGAACGATCCTCGTGATGTCTGCCAGCGCCTGCACCGGCCGCACCGATGAGCTCATGATCCTCTCGCTCTCCTTCCTCCCCAGCAGCTGCGTCAGCTTTGACTTCAGCTTCTGCTCCTCATCAGGATCGTGGCGGAAGTGATCCTTCAGGACGTGGGACAGAGCGACAACCCTCCGCGCATGCTCCTCCCTGTACTCCTTCTCCAGGTACGACATGCCCTGCCTCGCGATGTTGCTGCACAGATGCTCTATCCTCATCCAGTTGCATCTTGCCTCGTTCCACCTCGCGTAGACCGTGTTGGTCCGGAAGACGAGGAGGAGGGCGAGGGCAGGAGAGGAGAGCTGGAACGGCAGCGTCGGCAGGGCGAGCATGAAGGTTCCGTCCCGGGGGACGTCGGGAATGAGCCCGTTTAGGATGGCAGCGTTAGTGAAGTAGGCGAGCAGGGCAGTCAAAGTCACGACCCCCACCTCCACCCAGAGGCCTCGGATGATGCCGGAGGTGAACATGGTGGAGAGGTTGCTGAACAAGCGCTCGGTCGATCGGAAGGTGAGCCAGTCGTCGCTAGTGAAGATCGTCCTCCTGTACAGCCGGCTCGCCTCCTTGTAGTTGTCCGACTCGTTGATGAAGCCCAAGGACAGCAGGTCTGCTGAGCTTTCTGTCTCCACTGGGCTGGTCTTGGTCGAGTACTTGAGCTTGCAGAGCCAACGGGACGGCGCCGCCCGACATCCGCTGGTCGACGATCTGCCAGCAGGTCGCATGCCTCCCCCCCATCGCCCTCCACCCACGGCGAACTTGAAGCAAGACCCATCTGTGGCGAGCAGCAGGAGGAGGCAAAAGAATAATTTCGACATTTCCGTACGAGACGACGATCACTTGGTGAGAGCAAGGCTCTGAACCGTCTGCCAACCCTGCCACAGAACTTCGAGACTGATCGCAAGGAGAAAACTTATCGACAAAGCCAGCAGGCCACCAAACCCTTCGACCTGTATTCATCATATCAGTGAAGCTGTTGGAACATGAAGTGGCTCGCTCGAGTGCGAAAGAGCATGCCTTTCCTACTTGGGGGTTGTCTACTTGTGTTTCAAACCAGCCCCAACCCTTCTCCTCCTCCTTCATTTCCTCTCTCCCTCCCTCTCTCCCGTCCTGCCTTCAACCCTTCCTCCTGATTCTCCCAGGCTCAATGCATCAACCGTTTCGTTCTCTGTCGCTCTCCCGTCTTTTCACCCAACGATACAAGCAGGAATTAACAGGGGATCAGATTAACTTCCATCCCTCTCTTCCCTCTCCTCTCCCCTCCTCCCTCCCCTCCCCTCCCCTTGATCCTCTCCTTCTACTCCCTCCCCTCCCCTTGATCCTCTCCTTCTACTCCCTCTCCTCCCCTTCACCCTCTCATTCTACTCTCTCTCCCCACGCCTCGAAGCGACAAAGCCATGTCCTACGACAGCCGCCATGTCACATATAAAGGTGACCCTCATCCCCTTCTGATCCTTCAGTATCTCCCGGACCACATGCCGGACCCGACTGAGGGACAGTACCGGGTCCCGGTGGTGCCTGGCGGAGCCTGTCACTGAAGCTCCGACAGCCTCCCCGCACACTCGGACTCCGACATTCAAGAGCAGGCCCGGCTGCCCGCACTGGCGGCAAGGACTCCGGGATCAGGGAGTCCGTGGCGCCGACCGCGGGCCGCGCCCGGCCGCGGGCCCCGGGTGCCCGGTCAGTGAGGCGGGCCTCGTCTAGTACTCTGCCTGGTCTCGCGCGCCGGACTCCCGAATGCCACTCGGAGGCTCCGCGACTTCCGAAGACAGTTTTAAAAATTCAAATTTTTGGTGGGAATGAATTGAATCTCACCCTTTATATTTCGAGTGACCCCCTCTAAATTGGAGGTGACTGAAATCTCAGGGTCTCCGACCGATTTTGTCGTTGCGCCAATGGAGGGCCCGAGGCTTCGAGCGAGGGATACGAACCGTCCCGCCCCGCCCATGCACAAGAGACTTGAGAGTCTCCTGATGGAGGAACAAGCGTCAAGGCCTCAAGTCCGTGATGACCTCGTGGTTCTGGCTGCTTCTCCTGAGCAAGCAAGCCGCACGGTTGCTCGCAATCGTTCACCCATCGCTGGTAGCACGCCAGAGGATATGAGGAGAAGAACGAAGAAGCCACAGACGGCTGCAGCAGTGCAGGAGAATATTTTTTCGAAGTTTCATGACCCCAGCATGAACATTGAAAGTCTCAGAACCAGGGAGCCTGCATTCTGCATTGGGGCCCCTCGCTTGAAGCCCATGGATTTCGAAGGAACTGTCCCATCATTACTAAGTGAACCACAGGACTCCAACGACCCAGCCACATGCGATGCATCCTTGATAGAATATTTAGATCAGGTTCTGAGCATGGATTCGGCATACTTCAACGACGAGAGCGCATACGGTAGCTTGTTCCAGAACATTTCATTGAATGAGTTTGAAAGCGGCCTGAGCAAACCGCAAGGGCTTGAATCGGGTTGCGCGCAGTATCCGATAGATTGGAGAATGACAGTTCTTTGGCTGTCGTACCTGGCGATCTGGAGCTCTCAAGAGGATCTTGAAAGCATCTTGACGACGATGCTAGGGGCTTCACGAGAATACTCTCCATCTGAAGCACAACTCGAAACTCTGACCAACGAGATGTACGTCTACATGATGCGCCACGATGCAGATCCTTCGTCGTCGATTTCTCGTCTGCAAGATTTCAGGCGGCTGCCGTTGGATGACAGACTTGGTGCTCTACATGATTTACTTGTGCGATTGCTGACCTTGAAGGTTGAAACGATCTCGAGTGAGCAGATGAGTTTTTCCTAGTTTGTCATTGATGTTTTGACAGGTCAATCACAGTCAGACGTCAATCAAGTTGAGATGTATGCGTTGTCTCTCTTGCTGTGCATGAGCTGAAGTGAGCTTTTCAGAGATGTAGCATTGCCCGCCGACTTTGCCGGAGTGAAAATCTCACTGCGGTTGCAACTGCAAGCGCGTTTTGGAATCTTCACCACGACGGGATTCTATCGGTAACGATTGACCTGCTAGCTCCAGTGCTGTCCTTGCTTGACACGAGGTTTCCGCCAGTGATCTTCAAGTCCTTCAGTCAGCAGCTGTTAGGCTGATAGCTCGAGACTGAAGTCATGGATGAAACCATTAGGAGTTATTGACGAGCTTCCTGACCCTCTACCTTAACATAGTTTGTACAACAAGAGTGAAAGAGCAGAATGGCTAGAAAGTCATCCTCAGGTGCCCGTGTGACCAGGTTTCCTCCCCGTCGGAGTTCAGCGGAGTCGAAATCCCCTGGTTGAGTGCAGTGAGAAACGATCGCCGACGCGACTCAGTGCTACCTCTGGGAATTCATCAGCAAGCTCCTCTTCAAGCCTCTGGTCTATCTCCTTGTACTCTTCCATCAAGCGGAGAGCTCCTTCCCTCTCCTTCCTAGGGTGACGAGTGAGGAAAGAAAGGGCAAGGGAAGAGGGGGATAAGGAAAGGAGGAACGAGACGTACTGAATCTCGTCCTGTGCCATCTCCACGGACTGCGCGACACTTGAGTTCCATTGCCTGTTGAAAAATGTATGAGCAAGTGAGGAGTGAGAAAGGAGTGAGTGAGGCTTACGAGCTGCCTTCCTGTATACCCTTAGCTCTCAACTCATCGATGATTCTAGCCTCCTTTTCTTCTTGGGCTGCCTGTGACCCAGAGTTTCATCAGTTAAAAGTTCCATGTTCCCTCTAAGCTGACCTCAGCAAAAATTTCGCTGGCATTGAGTTTGTCCAACTTCACCGTCCCATTCCGAACCATCTCCTGTGCCTCTCTGAAGGTAGCGTTAGCCTCTCTGTCACTGACCGGTCAGGCATAAGCTCACTCCCAGCTCCGTTGGAATCGAGCCGCACCCGCATGGTCCCGGTCGACAAACTTATTCACGTCTACAGGCTCATCTTCTTTCATGACGCGATCCCACCAGAGTCGAGCAATCTGAACCACAAGTTCTTCATGCACCAGCCTCATTGCTGCTTACAGAGCAGCTACCGATTCTTGCCAAGTTCCTGGACCGTCGTAGTCCGGTGACCATTCCGGCTCGTCATTCGGTATGAAAGCTGCACCAGGAGGTCTCTTGCTCAGATGCACCTGCAATCGTCACGAGTCACAGCCAGGCGTCAGGCCCATTCACACGGACCCAAATGGTTTTCTTCGTCTGATTGTCAATATCTAAGATTTCCTGTACGTTCCAGTCGTGCTCGTCTGGACCATCCTTGACCCTATATTCGAGCTTTCCAACGATCAAGACGGTCTTCAAAGGTCGTTTGAATGCCGGAATGACTCCCATGTTGTCCTGTCTGTGCTCCTAGAATCGCCTTAGTCAACCTTAAGATCAGTAGTAGACATTTCACCTGTGGCTCATGTATTGAAACGCGGATCCATTTTTCTCTCACTTTGACATGCACATCTCGGCCTCTGACCCAATCGGGAGCAAAGATCTGGATTCGATATTCAAACCACACCATGATATCAGGAGCCATCGCTCACATGCAAGAACACGTCATCCTGTGTTTGCGACCAGTAATATTTCTTGGTCTTTCCACCATTCCTTGTCATCGAATTTACGAAGGTCTTGCAACACATGACTCAGGAGCAGAAAGCAATCTCAGTGAGGGTATGACCTTGTTCATGGCAAATTCATAGCTGGTTCGATTGCGTGTATACTGGTACTTGATCTTGACACTCCCAACCCGACTCTCTGTTTGCACACCATCAGGTCATAATTGCCACTTCAAGTGACGGACACTAAAAATGGGTTGATGGAGCAGTCATCATACTTGAACCTCCCAACTACACTCGTACTCTTCTTCTCAAGAGGGTCAAATGGTGTCGTACCGGTCCACTCTTTCAGCAACTCGCGGGCCTTGGCAACCTCTGACGTTTCCAAGAACCCCGAGACAATGAGCGGCTCCGAGTGCCTCAGCGCTTGTCTTAGTCCGTGCTGTCATCACAACGTACTCACTCCTCTAACTTCGCAGCAGCAAGCACTGACCTCGTCATGGTTGTTGATGGCTTCTTGGATCTGCTGCCGTACACTTCACAACATTCGTCAGCTAAGTACGGGCTTTTCGAGGCAAGTAAGCAACAACCTGCGGCAGAGGTTGTTCTGCACATGATCCATCTCATCCTTGGCGTTAGGATCGTCTTCTGGCTTGTCGGATACAGAAACGTCCAGCTTGTCCCAGCGAGAGTAGTCGACTGTCTTCCACTTCCGTTCTTTCTCACTCCACGATTCCACCACAGGCCTCTGCAGGGGCTGGTCGTGCTCCCAATCGCTCCTGGTATGACCCTGATCAAGAAGATCTTTCTCAGAAATCATGTCCGGCGGCTTGAGCTTGGAGAGATCCGCGTTTTTACAAGGAACGTCCTCAACGAGTACTTCTCCATTTCGCACCGTGACTCGACTTGGTCCATGAAATTTTCTCAGCCTGGGCCTCAGCTCACTCTCTTCCTCATCATCACTGATCTCCTTGGCAAGCTTGTCCCATCTGCCATCGATTCAGAACCACAGCCTGGTCCTCAAAACACGCCAGCCCCTCCTCCTCTTTGACCCTCCTTCACCTTCCACTTCCACCTCTCCTAAACCTGCGGGTCGCCCCCGCTACCCCCCCTCCTGGTTTTCACCTCTCATAATTGATCCTCGCGTCCGAATGCTTCGAGTCTTCTTTCCCAGATCCTCCCCTCAGCTGAAGTAACCCACAAGCACGACCTTGGCAGCCGGCATTGCTGCAAGCGTTTCCCGCTCCTCCAGCACAGCAGCTGTCGACTGTCTGCATGCATGCTCTCGCCCTCGTCTTCAGAGGAGTCGACCATAGAGCAGACCAAGAGCATCTCGTAATGCTCAGACTCAGCATGAGTAGCAGCATGCTTCGCCGCGCTCCCCTGTCGTGTTCCATCAGTCGCATCCTGCAGTCAGGGTGCCACCCTTGCCCGGAGACCCGGACTCGGCCTGATTGTCTTCGTACTGATTTTTAACTTAACTTTGAGTAAAGTCACCAAGTTCCGGAAGTTGGCGAGGCCCTGAGAGTCGAGTCGAGGAGGCTTGACCCCGACACATACAGGCCACACGGCGAGAAGAGAAAAGACAGCGAGAACCCGGAAACAGATTAATCCTGCAGTGCCAACCGTTGAACTGTTGTCCCCCAAACTACTAAAGGTGACTAGCCTAGCCTAGTAGCACGGTACGGTACGCCGGGTAGCACCCGGGCGGCGGCCCGCCGGACCGGCCGGCCGCAACTTCCCGGCAGCGCCTCGGCGGGCGCAGCGGTACGGTCTCTACCCTCTTGAAGTTTACTCAAAGTTAAGTTAAAAATCAGTAAACTTGATCAATCACGCAACTCCGATGCTGCCGTCCTCCAGATTGTTCTCATACTAATTTTTAACTTAAAGGAAGTTGAGTAATTTGAAAGATTGGGGATGCGAGAAGGCGCTGTATTGCCCCTCAGTGGTCATCAGTCGCTTCTCTTTCTTTCTTTCTTTCTTTTTTTGGCGCCTTTAGTTACCGGGCTCTCTCAGGATAGACGGCCTCAGCTAGCACGTTGTTCTAAATGGTGTGATAGGTTAAAGGGGGGTACCCTTGACCCTCGGCACTTGACGCTCCTAGGCGCAAGAGCGCGACGGGACGCAGTTCAGGCAGGGATGAAGGGTGGGTGTATTCCAGGGAAATGGGGGGGTCCAGCATGGGGGCTGGTCAGTCTGTCGGCCCAACACCCTGGTGGCACGTATCCAATATCGGAGCCGACCGGGGGGGTAGGAGTAGGGAGAAGATGGGGTGGGGTGGTATCGAAAGGATTTTACCGGCTCGTAGGAAACTCGGAAGGAAGCAACTATGCGAGCGCGAGCATGTGCTGCCGTTGAGAGATAGCAGCTCTCGTGCTCTTGAAAACAAGATCCTTGACCTTTCACAAAGAATATCGAATTCTGTTCGCACATCAAAACATCCAATCATGCTAAACTGGTCGTTCTACTCCAAGGGGAGGAGAAAAGCCTCGTCGTTCTACGGCGTCAATCTGGATGCTTGGTTTCAGAAGAACATGGACGCAGAGGACATGCAAGAATTCCTTCCAGATCGACCAGCAGCCACCAAGAGAAGATGGTGGGTCCCTATGTCAGTCTCCTTCCTCCTCCTCCTCTCCTTCGGTGGGTTCGTGTGGGGAACTCTTCCTCTTCAACCCCAGTTGGAGACCAGGGCTACGACCCTGCATGTCTACTTTCCTCAGGACGGTTCTCTCTCCTTCAACGCTACTACCATAGCCCCTCCTGAAGCGTCAAGGTTCCACGATATCAGCGTGCTGTCAGCAGAGTGTACCATCTCGTTGATGGAGGATCAGGTCATGTTCATGGATTCGTTTGCTGAGATATCTGTCCAGGGACCTTTTCGACTCCTCTCAAGAATCTCAGGGGAGCAAGAGGCCATCCAGTCATTCCAAGGAAAGGTTCGCTTCGCAGATCTGACTGCGCAGCAGTTCAGAATGGTCCTGGAACGGAAAATGAGCTTTGGAATTTCTTGTTCGACACTGACTTCAACGAGGCTGTACTGGTCAGCATACACCATAGAGCGCATCGAGGTGTTCAACAGCACGCTCAACAACGGTCTTGCCGACCTCTTGAACAACACTCTTGAAGGCATTACCCTTTCAGATCTGTTTGAGGACCTCCGCGATGGTTTCTCCTTCTTGGACCAGCGACAGGCGCTGGCGGTGCTGCTCAAGCTCCCCATGATCCGAGACACCAGCGGCTTCATTGAAGCTGTCTACGTGCACCTGCCTGAGATCTCTTTTGATCTCACCCTCGGCTTCCTCGGAGACTTTTCTGTCCGAGACCCGGAGGCAGCCGTGGACCCGTCGCAAGCTGTCGTGACGTTCGGGTCTTATCCTGTCTCGTGGTTGTTGATTGCTCAAAATCAGACGTCAGACAACCATGCTCAAGCGCATCTCTTCGTGTCATGTGTCCAAAGAGACTGTGTCCGAAGCATCCGTGCAGTCATCGGAGTTGGTCTTGGTGGCTTCACGACGCATCCCATACAAGGAGTGGCAGTCTCAGCAACAGCGTCCACGACATCTGCTCCTTTCTTCACCAGACTGTTGGGAGATCGGCACATGATCGTTGTCAGTTCGCAGCAGTACCAGTACCATGGGCGGAGAGTTGCGACGGCTCTTGCGGGCTACTCGGACTGTGTCAAGGCTGACATGTTCGAGAACTGGAGGCTGCAGCTCTGCGCAGATACAGGAGGGATCTTGACGGATATGAGCTCAGGTCTTAACTTCTTCGAGCTCGACAGACATCCTTCTGCCATCCTAGTCCTGGCCTCCAGGAACTACTTCGATTACGGTCAAGGCAACCCGCTCTTGCTCGTCCATCTGAACGTGACAACGCTGAGGAAATTTACAGCTGGGGAGGCCAGAGCTATGCTGGGCGCGGATGTAGCGCGCGCTCAAGGCGACTCTGAAGTCGTAGAGTCCACGTTTAAGACTGTGAGCTACATTGAAGTTCAAGAGAACGACAAAACAGTGGTGCAAAGTTATTTGGATGCAGACCTTGGTCTGTTGCAGGACAAGTATGCTTCTGATTCTGTCACGACTGATACACCTTTCTTTGCCATGAGAGTGAAGGAAACTGATGGTACCATGGTGTGGGAGTTTCTGATCTCAGCGAACAGAACGACTCAATCTGATTCTGGACTTACAATCTACAAGAACACAATGATCAGTCGATTGCGGGATGTTACCGTTTTTGATTGGGGTACAGCAGTGCAAAGTCAGTACTCACACTCTTCTGTTTCGTTCAACTACTACGAGGATGGTCGGAAGATCTGGGGTAGAGACTCGCCGGATTCCTTCGAGCTGACGTACACCACGGCACTCCAACTAGGATCAGGGGCAGTGAAAACAAATCTCGGAGCAAAGGGACAGATCGGTTTGCGTGCGTGGGTAGGATATATCGAGAACTGCTCTGACGTGACTTGTTCCAATGTCTTCTGGGTGCCTTGTGATACAGAGAGAATATCGAAAGCTGGGTTGGACTGCAACGTGTCACTCGACGGCTGGTTGAACGACGACATGATCAGCATCGAGGCTCAGGTGTTCCATGACTCAGTCGGCGAGACGTACAGAGGATCCGACAGTATTTCTGTCATCACCTCGAACGAGTTTGCTTTCGATTGGAGCAATGACTACCATCATAATTGTTCTGAAACATTCACACTCGACGACGTAGCAGACACCCAATACTATCCATTCAAGAAACAAGTGCGGTGTTCTCTGACAGCTGACTACACAGCTGGTGTCCTACTGGGCTCTGGGACAGTAAGGAAGAGCCTCGACGCTGGAGGTCGTTTTATTCTGAATAACAGCGAAGAATCACTTGGTTCTTGTCATAGAACATGTTATGATGGGCTAGTCTCCAAGGAACAGGCGTTGGACCCTGCATACACAAGGTGTTATACTGGGTCAGGCAAACTTTCGCAACTTAACTTGAGCCTTTCGATGGATGGCTTGCGAAACAATCTCGACGCAGTCGGGATGCAGTTGATAGTAGCAGGATCTTTTCTTGACTACTTCGTTAATGTATCCAGCTTATTCTCGGTCAGTCAGAATAGCGAACCATGGTTCGATTGGAGCAACTTGGTTTATGGAAAGTATGAATATGTTGATCAATGGTATCACACCGAGGTTCAGAACTCCAATGATTACACGAATGAAAACCTTTACAACCACTCACTCCAAGGCTTTTATTCTACCAACCTGCAGTTTGGACCCCCTGCGAGTCGCCAGAGGCTCGGCAGCAGCAACAATTTGTCCTGGTCGTCCTACCAGTCAGACGTCTCCAAGTGCACGGAGATTTCTTGTCAACGCTTCTCCTCGTTTCAGGCTCACTTAGATGCGGACCTGAAAGGTTGGCTCAACGACAAGAACGTCGGCTTGACAGAGCTGATGGTACTCAACGTCACAAACGGGGCATGGAATGCGTGGAGCGTGATCAACGCAAGTGGAAATGAACTTTCGTTGCTCAATTGGAGAATCGACATGGACGGAGCTAATTCCAACACGAATGAGTACGACAGCACGTATGAGGTTGGCGTCTCAAACTACAGCACCTCCAGCCTCGATGAGCTCCTCGTGTCCGCCAGCTATACTACAGCACTTGAAGTTCAACTGTCTGCGAATGAGAAACGCAACAGCCTGGCTGGTAGCGGCCGCATCGACCTGCTCTCCACATACCTTGTCGAGGAGATCCACACTACTGCTGCGTGGGGATGTAGCTTGTATCCCAACGGTACTGTGATTAGTTGTCAGACCCATTACTGGGTGACGCAGAACCCTTTCATTTCGACAACAGCCTTCGACTTGTCTATGGATGGCCTGTGGAATGATGTCGACAGGATCGGGATAGAACTTTCTTCTCTAGCCTTGCGCGATAACAACATGTTGCTCAACAGCACAGGCTTCCTGTCAGCCACTAGCAACAGCGAGTCCTTGCTCACCTGGAGTTCGTCGTTGATCACAGGATACGTCCCTGCTCTGAGAATCCTAACAACTCGAGTCATCAACACGATCTCACTCAACGCAAAGAGCCTGATCGATGTCGGCCTTGAAGGAATCATTGCACTTCAAGACACCCCAAGATCAGCTTCTCTTGCCATCTCAAACGCGGGAGAATCCGTTCTGTACATGAGTGGCGACTTTCAAGACGAATGGTTGCCTGGACCATCGAAGCTTGTCTGCACTTCAGTGAGTGTTGTGCGCATACCTTCTGCTCAGGTGGACTTGCGATGGACCCACACGTTCCAAGTCGAGATGGGCCAGGAAGGGATGTATTCGGTATCGTTCCAGATAGTCGACAGCGAGCAACACGTGAGGTCACAACGACTGTTGGAGTCCACAGACGCCATCCTGCTAATCAACACATCAGTCGGAGTACAAGGCGCCAGTGCCAACACCCTTCAAGACTTCGTCAAGAACTTTGCCATGGAGCAGACCGGCCTCCTGGTGGACATGAACGTCGTGGTTGGAGGAAGCGACCGCCTGTCTGTCAGCTCCTTCCTTGGCTCGAGCGGAGACATGGAGGGGAGCAAGGAGCAGGTGTCGTGCGTGCAGGTTGACGTGGGGATCGACGGCTGGGAGGCACTCTCCGCTTCTGGTGACGTGAGGATGACAGGGCTCAAGCTGCGATCGCTGAGTCCTAACGAGAGCTTCGCGACTCTGCAGCACGTGATGGTGGAGGCCCGGCACAACAACGACACCATGCTACTTCAACGCACCAACGACGTGTACCAGGGAAGCAGACCCACTTGCAACGTCGTCACCGCAGGAAGACTACTCATGTTCGTCGACATGATCTGCCAGCCAGGGTACTGCAAGGACCAAAGTGGCTACTGCTTGCCCTGCAGCGAGGAATTGCAGGAGGAGGAGGTGATGGAGGCACCTGTATCCACTACTCCCTTGCCTCCTCCTCCTCCTCCTCCTCCTCCCGCTCAGGTCATGGCGCGTAACGACACTCTCGCGAGAGCGACTTCGACAGTGACCACGGTGATCACGACAACCACAGCGATCGCTGCCTCCTCTGTCGCCGTCAGCGCCGTAGCATCAGCCGTGCTGCCCTCCCTCTCATCAGCTGGAGCCTCTGGAGCTGGAGGGAGGAGCGGGTCTCTCGCCACCTCTCTCATCTTGCAGACTCAGTTCATCGCGATCACGGGTCAGATCGGGGGCAACAGCAGCACCGGCGCGGTCTCGGAGTTCTCCTCCCAGCTCGGTTGGTCCAACTACAAGTTCTTCTCCCTCTTCAAGGGCGACACCAACACGACCTGCGACCGAGCCAAGCAGTCCAGCAACGAGCTCTTCTCGACTCTCATCGCCTGCTCGGGAACCCTTGCGCTCGCCGCCGTTCTTCGCGTCACTATCAATCAGGTCGGAAAGTTCTGCAGGAATCAAGACATCGCCATGCAGGACTCGCGTGCCATCCCCTTTCCCAAGTGGGAGCTTGCGCTCTCCCTCACGCAGGTTCAGGGGCTTGCTCTTGCTACTACCTCTGCCATGGCGAGCCAGTGCCTGCTGTACATCATCTTGGGAGCGGTCTTCTTCCTTGCCCTCTTCCTCGAGGTCCTTTCGATGTTTCGGTTGGCCTGGCAGGCAAAGAGAGGAAAGATCTTGTGGCAGACGAAGATGTTCCATGACGCCTGGATGGAGCTGAAGCACGACATGTCAGAGCTCAAGAAGGAGAAGAAAGTAGCAACAGTCAGTCACGCCATCAGCACTCCTTTCATCCGAGGAAACTGGAACGTCGACGGGGATCCTGAGCGGCATGACCAGTCTCAAAGCTTCATGAGTCGCTTCGGCATCCTGATCGAGGAGGTATGCTCGCATGCCTGGTGGTTCTCCGTCTACTCCATCGGCACCAAGGTGCTCCATGCTCTCATCATCAACCTCACCAACAACGAGACTGCTAGGAGCTCCAGCATGACTGCCTGCATCCTCCTTGACCTCGTCCTCATTGTTATCTTCACACCGCAGATCGACTGGCGCGATTGGGTGACGCAGCTGCTGGCGGCCCTGGGCAACCTTGGGATCTGCTTGACTTTCTTCTTACGGAACCTTGACAAGATCAACGACGCGCAGGTCAATAGCATGTTCTTTGCCTTCGTCGTCATCTCCATCATGCCGATGGTTCTTGCCAGCCTGGCCAAGGACATGTTCAAGGCTTCCGGAGCTGTCTTTCAGTTCGTAACGATCTTCAAGCTAGAATCAAAAGAGGAGGAGGACAAGCAGAGGACAGAGCGAGAGAGGCAGAGCATGCCATGCCAGATCGTCGAATGCGTTGATGTTCAGCCCGTGGAAGATTCCGAGATATGCAGCATACCTGTGAAAGCTGACGAGTGGTCAGGACAAGCAAAAGAAGCGCAAGAAGCGAGTACGGAGCAGTCATGGGCGAATCCGGTACAAGGACGGGTTCTGTCACTTCGAAATCAAGAAGGTTGAAGTTATGATTTCGATTGTTTCTGATAAGTCTTGCTCGTTCATGTTCTTTATGAAATAGAGATTTTTGTTTCATCAGAGTGAAATCATACAAGTATCTAAAGTAAACATCAAAGTTTTTCTTTATTTTCTTGATTGTCATGAGTGTATCTACTATTTGAAATTTATCGATGATATTCTTCGTCCACATCAACATCCGAAAAATGTCTGCTTGTCGAACCCATCACTCATCTCCATTCGCGCACGACCAAGTCCAAACTTGTAGCGAATGTGCAGGACGTTGTCTTGCTCTCGTAGGAGCTGAATGGATGAAGCAAGGAAAATCAGGCAACATAGGGGAATACTGTCAAAGACAATAATTGCAACAAGAGCATTTCAGCTGTCTCTTCCGAGCAACTCAGTGTCAAAGGGCAAGCAATGTTGTACGACGAAGACAGCATCTGCCCTCGTATCAGGATGATACGTCAGTAACCAAACGGTTTAAGTGAGTCTATTGCAAACCTTGACCTGATCATGATTCGCAGTAGGTGCTAAAGATTCATCGGGCTTGCACATATCCCTCGTCCTTTCGTTGTAACAAGTGTGCATGATATGATTTTGGAGACTACACATCCTACCACATCTACATCGCAAAACGAGCCTCACTTTTAATTTTCTGTTGCTTTTGACTTGCAGATGAGAATAGATTCATACCAATCAACATGTGCAACAGAACGAGGGTCGATGATAAGCCAACTATCTTTGTTTCATCAAACACTCTCTGGCTGATGCTTGGTCGATCTCGTCTGAAATAAGGTTTGTAATCGACAGTCTACAACTTATATGTCAAATTCATCATTCCATGCTTAACTTGGGCTATTTCACCATCATGCAAGCTCTGAAAATTGAGTATATCTGTCAATGGCTTGATCCAGTATGCGTTTCCTTTTTGTGATACGGTTTACAAACTGTACGTTATGTGGGTGAACGTGTGAGTTGCAACATATGTTGAATCAATGTTTGTAAGTCATGGATCTGTTGATAGTTTCTCTGCTTTCTCGTCATGTTTTCAGCCTCTTGCTCGTTTCGATCTTCCTTCTCCACCAGTCATTTTTGCAACGGGGGGTTTGTGAGTAAAACATCGCAATTAGTTGTCAGTAGAAAAATCAAGTCCGCCTCACCAATAATATTACAAAACCCCAAAGTCAGCATCTCATTCCTATGCTTGTTGCGGCGAAAAGATATGGCTGTTACATGTCTAACCACTTTCCGTTATGACAGTTAACGCTGTCTCTTCGCCATGGCGGAAGATGCTGCGGCTTCGTCCAGGTGCTCATGGAGGTGGAGAGAGGAGAGTGGAGGTGGAGAGAAGCGAAGTTGGAGGAGGAGAGAAGGGGATAGAGAGACTATGGTAGTGCTGTAGGTGCTGTAGGTAAGGAAGGTCTGTAAACAGACAAGAAGGCTTCTACTTTCAGGTAGTATAGAACGCAGTGAACTGGCTCAGTGGGGGGTTATGGAATGGAAGAATGTGGAGAACCGGGAGTATTGATAAGATTGGATGGAAAGTTTAGATGGGCAATGATTTGTAGACCAAAAGAGTGCTGCAGCTGGAATTTAGATGATCTTGACAAGGGATTGAGAAATTTTTGTTGTGTCTACTCTTAAAATTCGACTATTTGCGGTGCATCTTTGTGAGCGCGTCCATTCTCTTTTGATTATATTTGAAGAGAAGTTTTGCTCAACTCAAAACGATCGAGCCATGACTTATGTCCTTGCTTCCAGGAGGCGGCTGGATACGAAGCATTTGTTAATAACAGCAGCTTCGTCACTGCTTTTCATTGGAATCATCGTAGCTACATTGGATGCAAAGGTTTGGTCTTGCCGATTTACTTCTTTCTCTTTGTGATGTATGCTTTCAGAGTCGTCAGCCCAGCGTCTTGCTGCAGTCTGCTTGGAGCAGGCTCCCTACTAAACCACAAGGAACCAGAGGCAGCTCTCCTATCCGTGCCAACGATGTGGCCAAGACGCCGATCAGCTACAGGTTGAGGGGCGCCGTCGAGCCTAGCATGGAGAATGGAGCAATTAGCGCGGATGCTCGAAGACTTCAAGAGAACCTCCGCAAGTACCACGAAAGAGTGAAGGGCACCGAGAACGAGTGGAGTCATGTGTACAAGAAGAAACTACAGGGGTTCAAGAATGTAGCGATCCAACCGAACCTCAGGAACTTGCCCCCAGGATTTCATGTGCTGAAGCCGGGACAGAAGTTGCCAGCTGGTGCGAAGATCGTGTACCCCATCATGATTCAGCCCACCGGGGGGAGGAATCCTTCCTTCAAGTCCGTTTCCTCGCCGAGGTCTGCAACTCTTTTGAGAGCTAATACGAACATGCTCGACGAGGCTCCCGAAGAAGCAGCGGCAGCTAGTGGTGAAGGGGAGGAGGCGGAGGAGGCGGAAGAAGCACCCCGTTCACCTCCTCCTGTAGTGATGACAGCGCAAGAAAAGATCGATCTTGCCAACCAGGAACACCAAGAAGCTCGTATGGAGAGGAGGGTTGCTGGGGAATACAGGACTCAGGTTCCATATTCTGAATCTTTGGGCTGCCCTGACATGGAGACAGGCTCAAACCTTGGAGCGAGAGGGTGTGCAACTCATTCAGAGCGGCTGGAAGAGACATCAGGACGCCGAAAAGGTTGGAATGATGCTCGCGACCGAACAGAGTGGATGACATTGTTTTCCTAGTCTTTGAAGGACGCACTAGGGAAGGTTGATGAAGCTGATGAAATGATCACCAACTCCAACAAGATTAAGGACTTGGCTAACGCCCACCGCGGCGACACTCTGGCGACCCAGGTATGGCGCATCTCCTCCGATCTCACCATCTAATTGAATCTTCTGGCTAGATGGAGACAATCGCATCTGAACTGTCGGCTGCATCAGAGGAGAAGGCTGCTGAGGCTGAGAAGCTGCAGAGTGAAGCTGACTCCTACAAGGTTTCCTTGGTTTCTGGTTTTCCCGTTCATGATTTTTTTTCGTGCAGGATTCCGGTGAATCAGAGGCTGCAGCAAGATAAAGATGAAATATTAAATTTTTTGAAAAGGAATCGTTGATTTCACACACTAAAACACCTCTGATTCGTTTGTCTACACTAAAGAGTTTACCATCCTGACTGGCAACGAGGGACTCGAAACAGTAACGAGCTATCTACACAAAATCTGCAAGAACAATCGCTCTCGTTCACCTCCACCTTTCAATCTTTGCGAAGTTGGAGCTTCAAAGCAGGGAAAGACACAACCGGAGGAGAAACGAAAAGCGCAATTTCCGTTCGCGTAGTCGAAAAATTTTCCCAGACCTGCTTCCAATTGGGGCACTCCAGTTTGTGGTAAGGATGCTCTTTGGGCTTGATATAAGATCCTTGCAGCTTCTCCGCTAATTCTGCAGTGAGAGCCTCCTCGCATCCTGGAGCTGGCAACCCGCACAGGTTCTCCAGGAACCTCGGGCAAGAAACTGAGCTGCACGAGCTGACAGCTTCAGAATATGCCAACAAAATTGACAATAGGCAGCAAAGAAACAAGAGGTTACTCTTCTTCATCATATGTGTTGCCAAACAGAAATGAACTGGGCCGACGATCGTCAGAAATACTGATGGACCCCCAAAATGAGCTGAAATGCAGATCTAGTGCCTTTTGCTAGAATGGCGTGGGCATAAAGAGCTTCACAGGGAAGGCTGGTGGTCAAGACTAAGTTCAAGATTGACTCAAGTCGGAAAGAAAAGAGAATTCGGTACGTTTGGGGCTCACGAAGCAACGGAGGTAGGAGGATGGGAGACCCTGAGGCAGGTCTGAGACCGACAAGGGGCAAGGAGAAGGAGAGAATCTATGATTCAGGGAGAGAGTCGAGGGGGGCGGATCAGATCAATGAAGCAGGTGAAAGGAGGGAGCAGGAGGAGCAGGAAGGAGATGTGAGGAGGAACGGCGGTAGCTGGCAGAAGAGGCAAGGTGCTGAAGGGCGGGAAGGAGAACAATAGGGACGCAACAGCCATACGAGCCCCTGGGGGTAGGGTACTAATTGATAGAATAGTAGGGTCAACATGCTGGGTTGTGAGGGGTGGGGCAGTAAGTGGTGGCCATGTGGGTGGGTCAATTTTCTGCTGTAAATCAGGGGTACTACGGTCTTAAAGGGAATGGAAGTTTTAGACCTCGTTGATGAAAGAGGTGCTTTTTGGGTGGGGGGGGGGGTAGGGGTCCTGACAAAGGCCTTGGGCAGGGAAACCATTTTACAAATAATTTTAAATGAAGGGCATTGGTACCCTTTATTGGTTCTAGAAATTCTTATCTGTCTTGAAACAGGTCCTATGATGGTCTTATGACTGTAGTGAGCAGTCGTAGTTGGAGATCTGTACTATAGATACAATCTTTGCACCTTAAATATATATTTTTTGTACTGGGACAGCTCACAAGTACAGTGATTTTCTAGGCAGTAGAAGTTTTTCTATGACCCTTCTATGACATCATAGGCTGAGTGACATAATACTTTATTGAAGCCCCTGATAGGACCAAATACAAGCTCCTATATACCCTACTCTGTGATAGGACCATGCTAGGACAAGTCAACCAGCAGACGGTATCTGAGGAATCAGATTGCAACGGTTGGTGTCATTTGAGATATCGGTGGTAGCTAACGAGCACATTGGGGTGTAAGTGTCAAAAATGAATTAAGAACCCCTACTTTACCGTAAATACCTGGGTGGTGTATGGTATTCACGAAAGTGGTTGGTAGGGGTGGTTCTTGCTATGGGGGGTGAAGATTTGTGGAAGGCAGGACAAACTCTTGTAAGTGGATCCTTGCTGCCTTTTTCTCAGGTTCTACCTGGTGCGCGCTCGGACTCAGTAGTGAATGCTTGAAAAAAAAATGTTCTTTGTTTTCTTGTAAAAGGAGCACCCCGAGAAATGGCGCAGGCTATGGCAGCGATGGTGGGAGCAGCGGGTGTGCGGCTGGTGAGGGAGAAGAAGTCACGCGGAGGAGTGCGAACATAATATCTTAATGCAGGCATCAGACTTGATGGATCACTCCATAGAGTTGATGAAGGTGAACCTGGAGAAGGAGCGGATCGAGAGGGAAAAGGAGCACTTGTAAGGCGTCTGCTATGCGCGCATTGCGCGGGACCAAACTGAGTATTTCAAAACAGCCAATTAGAGATAGAATGGGCAAAGGAAGATTCGCGCTTCAGGGTAAGAAGTCCACATTCTCCTCGTCCATCACCTTGTGGGAGGCTGATTTTTTCGTTTTCCAAATAGGATCTACAGCGAAATTGGTAATGGCAACCCTGAACAATGTTGTTTGAGACATGAAGCAGGCGAAAACTTGAAGATAAACGCAGACGAACATCTGAGAAGATGGTATAGAGTCCAAGAGCACTTCTTGTAGTTTGCAGGATCTGATCATGATGAAGACCCAGCTGTCATTACTAGCAAGACTGTCTGCTTTGATGGGAGGGTTTCAGGTACAGGATTCAAAGATGAATATGAGGTGAATGCAGGGCAGGTCGCGATGTTTATCAATCAGGGGTTACCCGGTTTGACGGATTCGTGGCCTTCTTTTGCGGTAGACCCACTGCATCGCGAGTCTCAATCGTGACTGATGTTTTGTTTCATACCAAAGAATGCAACTCTATCACCAAAAGGTATCGACGCGAAGAAGCTCCTTTGAGGCTCTATTCTCATGATGTGATCTAGGGGTTGGAACTGTCTGGTATCACAACTGGCAATTGCAGGATGAGCTCATCGCTATCTGGGCAGCCATCAGCGTGCTTGTGATTTGCATCTTTTCCATTGCTATGATATCGTTCCTCTAAGCATGGTTGAAGGTGATTGTGGTCAACTTCTCGATCATGATCATGGCTTCCCTGATGCAACTTCAAATAGCGCAGCACACCTACAAGGTACAGTGATGGCGACTTGATTTCTCTTTTCACTGCATTGTGATTGGAGCGCATAGGAAGGTGACTTTCCGATCCATGATTCTGAGAGGTGAGGACAAACATTTCTCCTGTGGAGAAACTCGAGGTAAGGGTGAGCTTTCATCTTCAGATACAGCGCAGCGAACCCCGATGGGCTCATCATTGAATCACAAGAATTCCTCCTCTTCTGGAACCTGACATGCGACCACAAGTGCGATAGTTGAGCGGAGAGTGTCCCTATACTAACCGATGCGCAGGTTCATAGTGATGATGAAGGTTTTCTCATGGGGCATCCCCCTCTACTTCGCAAGTCTTGCCCTTGGAGTGAGGGCACTTCTCTGTCACGTTTCCCGGTCACTGACTCGCAGCAGGTCATCCTCAAGTTCTACATGTCGACAGTCGCAGCCTTGATCAGCGCCATGGTTGTTTCCTTCGCTTGTCACGCACTCTGATGCTACTGACTCTGCGTGCTCTGAATGGCTCCAGCCTTGTGTTGCCTTCACCCGCATGTGAGGGACTTTTCATCTTCCATCTTGGCTGAAAGGTTGCCAGATGGTGGCACTATCACTCCGGGCTCATCTCATACATCACGTTCCGTGCAGCGGGTGCGGACGATGATGCAGGTCAGTGCCTCTACCCCTTGTGCCGCTGACTTCTCGAGATCACGGCCGGTTGACAGGGCGTTACGAAAGTTCGATCAAGCAAGAGGCTTCGCTGACTCCTCCGCAGCGTCGCGTACCTGCAGGGGTTACGCAGCTGAGCGGGAGGTGAGCTCTAGAAGGCTGCATGATGAACGGCTGAGCATGTTCAGGGCAAGCCGTGGTGCGGAGCTTGGGGAGGAGGAGGAGGAGGAGGAGGAGGAGGAGGAGGAGGAAGAGGTGGAAGGGGATCAAGCTGAGTCATCGGGGGATATCCATGAACAAGATTCAGAGGAAGAGTTTTTCGATCTTCATGATATTGACATGTCAGTGAGGTTTCTTTCTTTTTCCATCCCACTGACATTCGATCGGCTCAACGCGATGCAGTGAGGAGGTCAACGGCAGCCTGACGAGCGTCAGCCGGAGGTTTGCGCGAAGTCAAGAAGGAGGTGGAGTAGGAGGAGATGAAGAGAGAATAAGGAGCAAATCACAGTGATTATCGGACGGCAGTGAAGTAATGAACATGTCACAACGCTGCACCGGCGGTAGCCGGGACCTACGGACCGTTCACGGTTCGACATGTCGCAGCATTTGACCGCGGGACGAGGTAGCTCAGTCACATTGAAGACTGCGCAGCCTCGGAAGATGGACTGGGAGAGCCGCTCAGGAGTCCGCGGCCCCGGCGGGGGGAAGAGAGCACTCGGAGCAGAACTTCGCAACCCAACTCAGCCCTTACGGCGTAAGGGCTGAGTGGGTTTGGTTCTCGCTGTCTTTCTCTTCTCGCCGTTTGGCCTGTGCGACAGTGTCAGGGTCAAGCCTCCTCGACTCTCCTGATTGTCCTCGTACTGATCTTTAACTTAACTTTGAGTAAAAGGTAGGCTGAGTGTAATGTCTTTTACTTGAAATGCAACTCACCCCCCACCCCCCGGGCCCGGACCGGGCAAGTTGAACGCTGGGCCGGGGGCCGGCGGCGGCCCCCGGCGGGCCCGGCCGAACCCGGGGCGGGCCTGCCCGGTGGCTCGGGAGGGGATGAGGCCACATAGTTTTTTTTTGAGGGGATTCGAGAAGGGCAGCTAATGCAGGGAGAGGAGCGGAGGAGCGGAGGAGAGGAGCGGAGGAGAGGAGCGTAGGATGGAGGAGGGATAAGGAGAGGGACGGAGGATGAAAGGAGACCATGGGCGATGAAAGAGCAGAGATCAGGATACAGGAGGAGAGACAGGGGAAAGAAAAGTTTCAAGGTTCACAAAATGAGCAAAGGAAGATAGAGATGCGGGAGAAATTCACGAGAGGCAAGAAAGAAGAAGGAAGAAAATTTGAGAGTTATGAGGGATTGAAGTTGTAAAAGAGTAAAATTGAGGATAAAGGCAGGAAGGTGTTTTTGGTAACATATGGGCAGGCAGGAAGGTGCTTTTGGCAAGTTATGGGCAATAAGAGCATGACGAATGTTTGTTAGTAACATAAACTGAACTCGAATAGATGAGAAGAGGCAGTTACATCAATGAGCAGATGCATGTGCATGAAGCAAAAATTAGTAACTTCCATAATTGACAGCACAGTGTAAGATGCACTTTGTTGGAAGTGCGCATGTGGGGAATTGAAAATTTATCACTGAAACAGCAACAATGTAGTAATGTAAGGATGGAAATCTAACACAAAGAACTCAGTGGTATAGAGGACTAGCAGCAGGGTAACATGGAAGTTGAACACAATCAAGGCCAAAAGAGCGGTAGAGGAAGGACAGCACTGTCAAATCCCGATGTCAAGCGTCACATTTCAATCAGTTCAATTATTTTTCTGATATCTCTGCTCTTTGCCAGGAGAGCTCGAAGCTTGTCGCCATGGCAAAGCATCATCCCGATTTGATCATGTGCAGAAAGCAGCCAGGCATTGCCATCGGTCGCCTTTGTGAGAAGTGTGACGGGAAATGTGTCATTTGCGATTCTTATGTCAGGTTAGTGAAGTTTCTATCCTTTATCTCTCTTCTGACATTTATCCCAGACCGCACACTATGGTCCGCATCTGCGATGAATGTAACTATGGTTCGTATGAAGGGCGTTGTGTGATCTGTGGAGGAATGGGAATCTCCGATGCCTTCTACTGCAAGGAATGCACCGTCCAGGAGAAGGACCGCGATGGCTGCCCGAAGATCGTCAACCTGGGAAGTGCAAAGACCGATCTCTTCTACGAGCGGAAGAAGTATGGTTTCAAAAAGCGCTGATCTTGGTGCCTCGCCCATTTTTTCCAGCTGCAGCAGGAGAAGTCTTCCTGCTCAGTGAGGTTTTTCAGTCTCCTCGGTGCCTGAGGGGCAACAGGCATGCGATGAGGAAGAAGTGGCGCGAGGTCAAGAAGTTGTCTGAGCTCAATGATAAGGATTTTAAGTGCTTGCTGTCTAATGCAAGAGTAAATCATCGGGAATCGCATGAGGAGGGATGGAATTACCTGTGTGTCCCAGCTTGGTTACTTGTTCCATCCTCCTCCCCAATTTTTCTGCCAGTGATGAACAGCGAAGGCGTTGCCAAAGTTTCTGTTGCTTCCTTTGTCCATTTCCCACCATCCATACCTAATGACGGAAAGTTAGATGTTGGAATCGAAGTATTCAACCGCACGGGTAGAAGAATTCTCTTGTGAACACCTAGTAAGCAAGTTTACTCTCGATATCACAACATGATCTCAAAGTCACCACAGCTCTCCCGGCCTTGAGCTCCTCAAAGAGCACCTTCGATGCTCTTCCTCGGAGATCTTGATTCGCCATCTCTACTGCATCATCCAGCTAAACAGCAGGTAACAGCTGTCAGTTCAAGGTGATCATATGCTCGAGGGCGGGTTACTTCGCAAGCTCCTTCTTCCGCAGACATGCACGCGAGAGCCCCACTGTCGTCACCCAGTAGAGTATGACTGGAGCGAGTAGATAGCAAGGAGCTAGCTCACGCATAAGTGTTGGTCCAAAAGTACGGACCCGTCTTGTGATTGGGATCTTGGCCAAGGTTCTCAGCAACCTGAACACGTATCAATCTTATGAGGTCGAGACGAGTCTCGGGTACCTGGGCAGGTAGGCCGTCTATCAAGGTTCGTATCACGTCGTTGTTTGCGGTTGCGCCGAACAGGGACGGGCAGACCCAGATATCACCCACACCGTTCCCCCAGACCTTCGACAGGGATCTCAATTGGTAAGGACGTTTGCCAGAATCCAAAAGGGATGTAGTTACCTCGATTTCCATGTCCTTTTCTGCACCAACGAAGAAAGATAGAGAAGCTTTTTTTGCTCTTGGATCAGGAAAGATTCGGAAGCTTCGATGAGTCATACCTATCAGGTCGTCTATAGGTTTGAGTGCCTCGAAATCCGTATCGATGTATATGCCACCAAACCTGCACATCGCATCAGATCAAATTGTCCGATGATCATTGGACAAAGAAAACTTTACCTTTCAACCACTTCGAGTCTTACAATATCTGACAACTCTGTGAATAGAAAGTTCATAATCAATCCCATGGACGTCAAAAGGCATGTTAAAAGTCTTGGCAAACCTGCAAATGTATCTGCTTGGTTAACGAGGGCCTGGTTGTGAAGTGGCCAAGTGATCATATCATCTGTCCAGACCACAAACTGCCATTGTGGATGTCTGCAATTTTTCCATGTCACAGGAGAAGGACAATCAGTCGTTGAGTTACAGCTGCTTCCAAGTATCCATGTAAGCATGAAACTTATCTGGAACCTCTCGCCTACCCCCCCATCTGTGATATCCTACCCAGACCTGCAGCAAAGTTACCCGACCTCCGCTATGTGGGGCAACGAGCACCCAGTGGAATATCCTCGGGATCCTCCCCATCCTCCCCATCTCCGCGTCTCTGGTTATCACGCATGTCCCGTTCACCGCATGGAGGCAGTCGTCCTCATGCGGCTGGAGACCCGGCACCCATGTCAGCAGAGGAGGATACAACACAGTGCAGTCGAACACTTCCTACCTTACACGTGCTTCGTTCCCTCCAGGGAACCACTGGGACTACATCAAACTCCACAGACTCGTCCGGATCCTGCATACATCATTTCAGCGCGCGTTCTGCGCCGATCCCCTCCTCTCTGAAGCCCCCAACACACAGCACACCTTTTCCTCCTGGTCCATAACCTCCACCTTGTTCCTCCCCAGCTGCAGCTCGTGCTCGCTGACGAGCACCGATCCCGAGCACGCCCACAAACTTCCCACAGCCTTGGAGTTGACCAGGACAGTGACCCTGCAGGAGCCCTCCCGAGCGCTGAGGGAGAACTTGACGACGAGGTCTTGTCCTTGAGGCAGCCTCTGCCCCTCCCTAGGGCTCTCCACCCTCATCCCTTCGCACGCGCACCAGAGCAACCACAGCAGCCATGCCCCCCTCCGCATCCCCGACATTCCTTCCCCTCATCCAGCACACCATGTTGAGTGACCAAGGACAGGACTCCGGGACCAAGGATCGGACTGGACCAAGGACTGGACCAAGGAGTGACCATCCCCGGGCCCGGCCATGGACCTTGGCATCCTGGCCGGGCCCCGGCCCGTCCGCCCGGACTCCCGGGAGCCGGTGTAAGGCCCGGCTCCGAGGCTCAGCCTGTGAGTGACGGTCAGTTCAGCTAGTCGGACCCAGCCTGGGGTCGTCCATTTAGCCGACTGGCCAGCCATGAGTGGCCCGGTCAATTAGAGATCCTATTTATCTTCAAGTAATGAATACAATGCTCGAGCCTGTGCTTATCCATCCGCTTCGTCCTCAGCATCATCTTTCGACCCTCTATCGTCCACATGATCTTGAATATTAATGCCTGTAAGGATCCTTGTAAGCCCCTGCACTCACTCCCATCTCCTCCTCACCTCTTTCTGTGATCGACTCGCTTTCAGTCCATGGAGCACACAGCTGCGCAGGGTCAGTGAGCCCCTCCCTTCTCCTCCCTCCTCCTTCCCTATCACCTCACTGAACCTCCCCGAGCTCTGAAGGATTTTCAGCGCCCTTGCAAACTCCATCTCGATATCCTTCACGGTATTCTCGTCCACGTATCTCCCCAGGTCCAGGTTGACGTCGAAGGGATCTTCTATGCAGATGACATGCCTGTGCAAACAGTGACTTCGCACAAATCTGATCCTACCCAGCAGACCTGTTCTTGTTGTTTCCTGGGACGTCCCAGCCCTTCGCTGTCTTCTTGAGGAGCCTGCCACTCCGGATGCTCACTACTCCCTCCCCTATCGAAAACACTGCAGACAAGCCTCAGCTGCTGTGGCTGAAAAGTGTTCCAGTACCGTTGGAGTAGAAGTGGAAGAAACCGACCAGAAGCAGCCCGAGCGAGCAAGGATTGTTCCTTTCTCCTATACCTGGCTACTGTCACTCCATGAAGAGGCCCCGACACGTTACCTGCTAACGACTCGACATTCCTGTAGAAGTAGCAGTCGTACTCCTTTCCCTCACATTGCACCGCGAAGGAAGAATCGTTCTTTTGCCTTGCTTCTTCCCGTTTCAGGTTTTGCAAGCATGGCAGAATTCTTTCATACTGCAGGTATTGGATGACCATCAAAGAATACGTGTACGAGCTGAGGTATCCTCTGAAAGCATTGTGGATTTGCCGTTGCTTCACCCAGTGTTTGATACACATGATCAGGGGCCTTACTCTGGCGTCGAGCATGGTGTAGGTGAAGAGCAGGTTGGTGTTGATGCAGGCAAGCACGTTATTCACACAGAGATCGCAGTCAAAGGAGAAATCCAGCCCATCCCTCGCTTGGAACTTGATGATAGGGACACGGGCGTTTGGCAGAGGCTCCACGTTCATCATTCCTTGCCTCGTTAGCAGCTTTGCGAGACCGATTAGGAAGTAACGAAACCGCGCTGTCTTGCGCTGCCCTTTCGCATTTCTCTGAATCTCTTCTTCAGGAATAAGAAGGCAGATATCTACATCCGAGCCCTTCGAACAAAGGTTGCTGCCGGATGAGCCGAACATTTGAACGCTAGATCTCTGATAGGATCCTGCGATGATCTTGCTTACACTCGTGCAGACGCTCACTTTGCGGACCATTTCTTCCCTCGGGGGGGAGGTCTCCGCCACAAATCGTATGCAATCGTGAGAGAGATTTTCAGTGTCCTCCGCTTTCACCTTTTGAAACATCACTCGCGTGCAGAACGTCGGAGGTTTTGTGTCGAGGCTGGTCCTGAGGTACAGATCGCTGTCTTCAGCAGGGCCAGAGAAATAGACTTTCTCGAGCTCCACATTGCTGATGAGCGAAGGACCCTGGGGATGCGGAGGTTGTCGATGGGCCATATTTTGATGAGCCTGAGCAGTGCCTACTGCGGTGGCGGGATGGATGTTCCTGGGAGGTTGAAGCTGTGGAGCATGCTGAAAGTTGGGATCAGCGTTCGGATATGCTGGGTTTGCAGGAGGTTGATGAGGCGCGAGCTGAATTTGTCTGGTGGCACCTGCACCTGCAGCCTCATCCCAAGGAGGCATGACACGGCCGCCCAACTGTTGTGGTGTTGGGTGACCCTGTGCGAAGCCACCAGGATTCGCCATGGCACGAGGAGCTCTGCCTTGGTCACTGAGATCCATCCTCTGCATCGCATGCTCGATCCCGTTGCTCTCCACCATCACAGGCACCTGGCCTGGTCGCTGCATGTTCGCAGGATGGCGAGGCTGATTCATCTGCTGCTGGCCTTGCATCTGCCTTTGCTGCATCTGCATCTGCATCTGCACCCTCATCTGCATCTGCATCTGCTGCAAGACCATGGGCAGGGGAGCAAGGCTCCATCCCCTCAGCGCTGCTGCTTCCTCTTCAAAAGGCCTCCGCTCAATAGGATGCATCATCAGCCATCTCTCCATCAACTGCACTCGTGGAGCTGCATTTCGGTTGGCAGTACAGAAAACGGCGAAAGGCGATGCTGCAGGGTGTGAGACCATGATCTGACAGCATCGCATCGGGTGAGGAGAGCACAACAGGGCATGATTGTCCACATACCTGAGTCTGTATCTCCTGACCTACTTGCCCAGGGCATGTATGGACCGACAACTTCACATCGAGGAAGTCTGGGTGCAAAGCTCCTGTTCTGACCGAGTGCAAGCACATGAAGGCCAGCATTTCTCGCCAAGCTTCTTTCTTCAGCTCAGGAGAAAGCTCGTTTTCGATCTCCACGTCGCTTGCAATTGCATTGCTCTGACTACATGGAGCTCTATATCAGTCACAGTTTCAGTGACATCGTGTGACAAACCTGCATTTACATAACGCTCGAACCAGCTCCTGAGCAAGCTGTTGCTGGCTCATCGCTTTTTCCTTGTTTCCAGGGCAGCTGCAAAGGTAGGTTCAACCTCAAGAAAGCTTTTCTCTAATGACCGGCATTCGGAATTACTCTCATACATCCAATACCAGCGTTCCATCGAAAATAGCTCATCACAAATCATTTCATTCCCTCTGTATTCCCCTTCCGTCTAAAAGCCGAGTTTTCTCCCATTGTCAGACGAATGTTAAATTTGCGCCTGCTTTCTAGACTCAAAAATTTTCTCTGCTCTCACCAGTCCCCATAGTTCTCATATTCGTCCTCCGATACCCAGACTCGCAATCTGTTCACTGTTGTTCTACCAACAATATCAGCATCCCCCACTCTCGTACATGTCTCATCTTCCGTCCAGCCTCTACTGTCGTACTGCTTGTACATGTGTTATCGCGGAGGTGCATTAGTCTCCCCTGCTCTCGCTCAATCTTTATGCCCGTTAGTTCCTCCCTTCCCTACCATGCCTGCCGACAGTCCTTCCTCGTCATGGGCGGGAGGGCCTGGAATGCTCGCGGATCTTCTTGCTCTCATTAGCGTTTCTGCTGCCTCATCTCTAACGCCCTTCTCTCCCCTTCCCTCCCGCCCCCGTCCCCTCCCCTCGCCCATCCCTGGTTTCCCTGCGCCATTGCCTCTGTACCTTCCCGGTGGTACAACGACCAAAAACATTTTAAAGATATTGGTATAAAATAAAATATTTCAGTTAAAATGTTAAAAAAAATGATACATATTTTGTTTGTAAAGTAATGACTAAATCACTCTTGACTTATCGATCGCCATACTGTCCACCCTATACAATTTCTCCCACTACGCTCATTCCAGAACTGACAAATTGAAAACTACTCCTCTCTCCAGTACAAAATTGTAAAAACTAAATCATTGGTACTAATTACTTCATAATCTTCAGTATACATGATGTAAAAATATTTTATATGACAGTTACAGTACAGTCGTTTATTCTTTAACCGTCAACGGCCATGGCGCCTTGGCGGGCAGTAGGAGGGTATGGCGAAAATGGGAGGGTCTGGCTGGCAAGGGAGCAGGATACAGACACAGACGGGAAAATAAGCATGACACATGTCAGAGTTTTTTAGGAGGACTAGGATGTATGTTCTGATAGCAACGTGACTGGCGAACAAGGCAAACAGGGATAGGATCCATTTCATGTCGATCGAGATGTTGCTGTTCAAATGTGAAATATTCAACAAATGATTTCACCTCACAATCATTTTCATCTCATGACTTGAGTTGAAAGTCTATTTGTTTTGAGATGATTTCGATGCAAGAACTGAGGCTGACTAGGAGGGGTTCGGGGGTCAGAGCAGAACTTGGATCTGACTGAACTTGCAAAACTTCCTGTATGCTGGATAGAGAGAAGGACTCAATCAGCTCTGAAATGCCCCTTCAGTTGAGATTGCGAGCAGAAGCAAACCGATTCGTGCTTGATACATGTAGAATAGCCACAGCATCTTGCTCGTCTTTGAAAGCAAGAAAGGATCAACCATGTTCCTTGCTGATCTTTGTGGCAGGTTGAAATGAGTGAAGCTGTCCATTTGTGCTGCATAATTCCTTGACTTGCTCCACACCCGTACTCGTCGACGTGATATCCTCGGGGGCCAGGAGCTGGGACATTCTTATCCGCAATGGGCGACGTCGAAGTGCCCCCGGGAGTTTTCCCCATCTTCCTTACCAACACCACCCAGCAGATGTTCCACGTGGTGTCAGGGACAGATGTAACCGAGCAGGCTCCTTACAAGAGGGTCTCGGTCGCCGAGATCCTCAAGGACATCCAGTTCCGCGGCGTCATCAGTGACTGGCAGCCGGCCAAGGCCCAGATAGAAAAGTTCAAGAACGGCGATGTGCCTGCTGAGGAGCTGGAGGTCCTGGTCGTCCTGGACGAGGATAATGTATACGGTCAGAACTACTACCTGTGCTACACGGAGGAGGCGGCTCAGAGTGTTATCGAGAAGTTTTCCAGCCAAAAGGAGGAAACGGCCCAGGAGGCAGTGGAGGAGGCGGCGGAGGAGGAAGAGCCCCCTCCCAAGGAGATCGTCGACCCTGACCTCGTCAACCGGCCATGGATCGAGTGGGTTCCGCCGGAGGGAGACACCAGCAAGGCCGTGAAGACGTCGGAGGAACTTGATGCGCTGGTTGTGCGGGACTCCCAGGGCCCGAGGCTGAAATTCAGCATGTCGAAGAAGCGAAAGCTGTTTGGAGTGGGAGGGAAGCTGAATGACGTGGACCATATCGAGGTGGAGGACTTCAAGCCCTATCGTGACCCTCAGTACAAGGAAAACCAGGAGATGGGGCCAGGAGTGTATGGGACCAGGTGCCTGCTGCGAGATAGCGGCAACCAGTGCGTGTCGAGGACGGTGGAGATGTCGACTCAGACTCCCCGCTACCGTCTTGTGAACAGCATGGTGCAGTATGCTCCTATCATGCAGGAGCATACCGAGGAGGAGAAGGCGCTGCTGTGCTCTAACATCAACGAGATGCTGGAGAGGTCGGTCCCTCTTATCATGGAGGCCATACAGACCAACGAGACGATCCAGGTCTTCCAGGATGACCTTGCGAACCTCGGGGACGAGGAAACTCTGGGCAACACGTCGGACAACGCGATCAAGGAGTACAGCTCTCCGTTCACTGACATCAACTACAGCAAGAACAAGATCATCTCAGCCATCGACTGGATGCCTGATGCCAAGGGAGTCGTGGCCGTTGCCTGTACCGACCGATCGAGCCTGGACGAGCAGGTCGAGTATGACGGTAAGGTCCAGGTGTCTCATATCCTCATATGGAACTTCAAGGATCCCATTCACCCGCAGTTCGTTCTCGAGGCTCCATCGGATGTCCACAGCTTCCGCTTCAACCCCAAGAACTCTGACATCATCGCTGCTGGCCTGGCGTCAGGCCAGGTCCTTCAGTACAACATCGGGCCTGCAAAGGAGCAGGCGGCAAAGAAGGAGAAGGGAGGAGCGGCCGCCAACGGCTCGGAAGAGGGCGCAGGAAGCAAGGATGAGGTGAACTTGATCAAACACGAGCTGAGCTCGACCATTGAGGGGAGCCATCGGAGAGCCATCAGCGACCTGATCTGGCTGCCTGCAAACAAAGAGGTCTATCCTCGCACCGGCCACCTGATCCAGTCGACCATCACCGACGGCATCCCGCAGCAGTTCTTGACTGTCTCCTCAGACGGCATGCTGCTGTTCTGGGACTTGCGAGCGAAGAAGGAGGACAAGAGCGGATCGCTGGTCTGGACGCCCATCTACAGGATCCTGATGAACTCCCTCGAGTCCGCCGGAGATCTGAGCGGGAACCGGCTGTCTCTCAGATCCGCCCTCGAGGGAGAGGATGCGACCAAGTTCAACATCGGGACGGAGGACGGGGAGGTCGTCGAGGGTAGCTGGATCCTGCCGGAGGAGGAGGGAGCGACGTATCTCAAGTCTTCTTACACAGGACACTACGGTCCCGTTGTCTCGCTGCAGAGATCGCCCTTCTTCGACGACACGCTGCTCACCGTCGGCGACTGGACCTTCTGCATCTTCAAGTCGGGGGCTAAGGAACCAGTCGTTCGCTCCTCCTTCGCCCCGACGTTCCTCACTCGGGGGAGGTTCAGCCCTACGAGGCCTGGAGTGATCGTCACGTCGCGGGCTGACGGATGTGTCGACGTGTGGGACCTGACGGACCGATCGCATGAAGCATCCTTGCAGCACAATGTTGGGCCGGTCGCCATCACGGCGCTGGAGTTCTGGACAGACAACAATGCAAACTTGCAGGTGCGTTGGGATGATGATGATGATGATGATGATGATGATGATGATGATGAGGAGGAGGAGGAGGAGGAGGAGGAGTATGATGATGATGATGATGATGATGATGATGATGATGATGATGATGATGGTAACGATTGGCATGATCACAATCGCGATCACATGAAAGTGTTCTCGTTTCGAGTGCACTTGCACACTCTATTTGTCTTACTACCTCCTTGTTCAGCTGCTGGCAGTGGGTGATGCTCAAGGCACTTTGCACATCCTCGAGATCCCCCGCAACCTCCGCCGTCCTCTTCCCAACGAGCAGACTCTAATTGACAGTCTCCTTCAGAGAGGTACTTGTTGTTCCCATTTCTCTTATCACTGACCGCCCCTCCCCTTTCGCTCAGAGCTTGCTCGGGTCCGCTACATGCATACACGCATGGCGTTCAGAGAGAAGGAGCTCGCAGTGAAGGAAGCCGAGGACGAGGAGAAGAGGTCTGCACGTTCTCCTTGGTATCCACGAGTTCTTATAGCCCGCAGGCGTATAGAGGAGGAGGCAGCAGCGAAAGCAGCGGCGGAGGAGGTAAGAGCTCCTCCAAGGTGCAGCATGAATGATGTGTTGCGCTGCTAGGCGGCAGCACGAGAAGCTGCGGAGGCTGAAGCGCAGGCGCTAGCGGCCGGAGACGAGCAGGCAGCGGAGGAGAAGCCTGCTGATGTACCTTGTCTCCTTGGCCTCGCACGGCGTGACAAACCACAGGAGGGAGATGAGGCAAGTGTGCAGAAGCTGAGCAAGGAGGATGAGGATGCAGAGGCGAGGTGACCAAGGCTGGAGGTGGTTTGAGAAAGGTTTGATCTTTCCGCTTCAGGTACCGGGCGATAGAGGCGCAATTCCGCGAGAAGCTGGATCTGAACAAGACCTGATGTTGCTACTGACCAGAGTGTCGGTAGAGTTGCTACTCACGATGAAGTCGCCATCAAGATATGATGCTGGGCTCATACACCTCTTGCTGCAACCTCGTCTGACGCGAAGAGCAGCTGGGGGTCCACAAGATCTCTGCCCTCCATCGGCCTCATCTGTAGAGGGGATACATCCCTCCTGCCTGCTCCGCCCCCCTCGGCTCCGGGGGGCTCATACCTGACACTGCCTCCTCTCCGTCCCATCACCTGCCCCGTGATCAGTCGTTAGCGAGGAAGAGGAGGAGAGCTCACGGGCTGAGGAGACTGTGACGGCGGGTGCGCTATGCTCTCCAGCTGGTGGAGAAGCTCCGAGGTTGGGCTGAGGGGGCGATCAGCCTCGCACACAGCCTCTGCTTCCGTCCCTCTGCTCCTCCTCCTGTTCCAGTTGACCTTGGGCATCCCTTCCGGCAAGGGATAACATTCCACATCCTTCACCCTATGGAAGGGCAGCTCTGCCAGCCCCTTCTTGTCCACTCGGAAGGCCCGGTTATCGCCGTCTGACGTCTTGTCTGCCTTCAGGTTCACAAACCCATTGTGGCTCAACGGCTTTGCCTTCTTGACATCACCATGATCCTGCTTGTCACCTGGCACACCACAATCAGCCACCAGAGCATGGTTCAAGGAGCTTACAGCATGTGGCTGCCTCTGCCAGTGGCTGCGAAAGGAAGTCTAGTCCGTCAGACGATCGAGATCTATCACAAGATGCCACGTTGCCCATCCTCGACGAGCTCCAATCGATCAGAGTGTTTGTTCAGCGATCATCCTCCTCCTCCCCGTTACCGGCTGACCATCTTGGCATATCACCGAGTCCCCGCCCTCCGGCCATGCCCATCGGATACACCCACCCCCTGTAATAACCATCGGAGTTCTGAAGAACGAGGGGTGGTGAATATCCCGATTGTTTTTTTCTGTGCTGTCAAGCTGATGGGGGAAGGATTTTTGCTGTAAGAGTAAAAGAGACTCGGGAGAAGAAACGAAGGAGAGAAGAGAACAGGATGGAGAAGAGGAGTAGAGGAGTAGAGGAGTAGAGGAGAACAGAAGAAGACAAGTAGAGGAGTAGAGAAGAACAGAAGAAGACAGGAAGAGGAGTAGAAGACACATGCCCTACCTCTTGAACATTCTCCTTCACCTCTTTCTTGCAAAGCTTCGTTTCGTCTTGCACTGACTTATCTTGTGCACGTCACGATGAAACACAACTAGAAACTCACTTGAATGAGCGAAGAGCCTAGCAACGATACTCACAGCCCACTCTCTATCCTGAATGATTGGCGCAGTGAACCTGCCACTCACGGTAAAGTGAAAGTGATGTTCAAGTGAATGAACCAACTTTCAAACACGTCCAGCGATGGTTAGCACTAGAGAAACAACATCCATGTGCAAGAGCAAGGGGTCGGATGCGGGTTCAAGAATTCATGGTCAGGATAAGCAGGATTAATTTGCATTCTTTCATTTGCCATTCAAGGAATTAAAACAAAATCTGCATGAGGAGAAGGAAAATCGACTTCTTCCATTGTTAGAGCTCGCTTGTTGATCACGCAGACCTGAAGAATTTCAAGTCGCGGTCAGCAGATGCCCGCTGACTACCCGAGTCGACCCGTTAACACCCTTTAAAAGAACAACCTCCATCGCAGGGAATCTTAGCCTCAGTTGTGGCTTTCAAACAACCAGTGCTTCACTGAGATAGAGGATCTCCTTGCTTCCTCGTCGTCAAAGTCCTTCCATACAGCCAGGAGCTCACTCCTTCCTCGCTCCGGAGAGAACTGCGAGTACTGAACCTGATAGATCCCCTGCAACAACCTTCCTGGACTCAATTGCCCTGTGGCAGATCCCGGGCTGGCGAACCGTTGGTAGGGAGCAGATCTAACATGGACTCTTTCTTGGGCTTCTACCTGTCTTGCGGACTCAATCTCGACGAGAATCTTCAAGGACTCTGCCCAGATGTCGTGCAGTCTGTTCTGTTTTTCCGGTTCGGCGTCCAGTCCCCGCTCCACTTCCGTTGTCCCTCGTTTCATGCTCAGGACGTCATTCCTGCAGAGACGCGCGAAGGATCGAGCTCGCTCCATATCACCAGCCTTGAACGCCTTCTGTGCCTGCAGCAAAAGTTCTCTCGGTCCCTCCAAACGAGCGCTCCTGGTCTGGCTCGCCGAAGTCTCCCTCAGCCTTGGCAGCATGTTGGAATCTTGGCCGTCCAGAGCCTCCATGAGGTCTGCGAGCAGCATCTTCAGCTTCTTGCCCTCGTAGCCCTTGGAGATCATGTACTCGTGTGTTCCCTTGATGATCGAGTAGACGATGGCGAGGTTGCACATGCGGCCCTCCAGGTCTTGACTCCTCATCACGTGCCTCTGGACAAAGTCCGTGCCGCACAGGATCTGCTCGAACTCCTTGTACATCTGGCTGGCTGCCGCAGGATCGCTCTGGCACGTGCATATCTTCAGTATCTTCCCCACTCTCTCTCGGAGAAATGGCTCGATGTTGGGTTCATCGATCTGCAAGCAGAGGTCCAAGAGAAGCTTGTAGAAAGACTCTGACGCTGTCTCGGTGACAGGCACCGGGTTCTGACCGGTCTCATTGAGCGATTCATCCTTCACGCCTGACTCAGCAAGCTCGGACTGAGCAGCATCACTGCGCGGCGACGAATATTGTTCCACGTCAGACTTCACGCTGGTCCATACAGGGGGTGCCGTTGCGCCTTTCAGAGCTTGCAATGCCTCCGCCCTCTGGCTCAATTTGCTGTTGGGCGATGACATGAATACGGATCCTCTGAGTTCGACCCTTGTACACAGCTGTCTATGCCACCTCCAAGACCGTCAAAAAAGTTGTCATGACCTGGAAACCACTCGCTGGAATTCAAATCCAAAGGCACTGTTCTATCAATACAAATTGGTCAGAGCCAGGAAAACGACATGACAGTGAACTGCAATGAGGCAGCTTAGTGGGCCACGATAAGTCATGGAAATGTCAAAGGAGTGAGGACTAGGACTATCTCTGAAACTAACTGAGCCAGCACAAAAAGTCTGAACCTTATACGTCTTCTACGAGTTTGAGGACTTTCTGACTCGACCCCCTAGCTGATGCGACCGTTGAATGAGCCATCTCCTTGCCTCTGCTCTGCTTCTTTGCTTCTCCTCACCTCCTCCTCACCCACGACTCTCGTCAACACTGATCAAGTTCCTTCGGTTCTCATTTCTTGCCTCAGTCGGGCAAGTTCATTGTTCCTCCGCCGGTTTTGACTCACCGCAGGTTAAACTCCGAACCCCCGACAAAACCCCTCATCACCCCTACTATCGACGTTCACAGTACCGGTGATACAGTTTGAACCACGGGTGGTCTTCCCCTGCTGACTTTGAGTGTACGCAGAGAGCTAACCGGTCGGAATCGGGTCGCCCGGCCGGAGCCTCCGTCGCCCGGCGGCCCGGCCGCCTTTACTACCCGGCGGCTACTGAACTCGGAACTTATTAGGAACTATGGGTGAAGCGACCCAAAGGCGTAGGTTGAGGGTGGGTAGGTGGATGACAGAAGGGGGTGGGGGTGGTTTTGGATCTGTTTGGTAATTGAAAGGTCCTCAAAAATTTCGTTTCACACTGATTAAATGAGGGATTTTAACAGAATTATATAAGAAAATTTGGGGAAAAAGCCGAAATAGGTTTTCAAATTTGGTGAGAAGGAATGGGGTGATGCTGCTGATGTAGGGGGGTGCTTGAGACGAAGGGGTACTGTATCACAAAGCGCAATGCCGGAGATCGTTTTGAACACAAGGCAAGTAATGCATGGGAACCCGATGGCGCTAATGCTCATGATACTCATGGCTATAGATTTGCTCCTGAAAATGAGCAGGGTCAGGGTCAGGGTCAGGGTCAGGGTCAGGGTCAGGAAGCAAGGAATAGGGAAGTTATTAGGATGGTACTTGATCCCGATGCAAGTCCAAGGTTGTTATGTAGGGTGAGGAATCTGCCCAAAGAGAATTTTGATTTTGTGGAAAAACATATCCTATAGTTGGACAGATCAAGTTTTCTTGATGTATTACACTAACACTGCTCGATGCTCTTTTGTTTTTGGCTAATTTCATTGCGACTTGACAGGAAGGAATTCGACGACTGTTTAAAGAGCGCGGGATCGAAACTGGTCGTAATAGATTTTTTTGCCACTTGGTGTGGACCCTGCAAAATTATCTCGCCGTTTTTCCATGAACTCTCAGAGAAGTACCCCCATGTCGTCTTTGCTAAGGTGGACTGCACTGGTTCACTTTGCGTCTTGTTCCATGACAAAGCGACTAGGTTGATGTCGACCAGAACGAAGAGACAGCCCAGAGTTGCGGCATCAGTGCCATGCCAACGTTTCAATTCTACAAGAATGGCAATCTTGTACATACGGTATCCCATGCTTGTTGACTGAGATATGGCATGTTGCTGCCGCTCTCAGTATTTTTGTTCTTTGTCCTCTAGTAGCAATCGTGTTCCTTTTACTTGCACGCTGCTGAAAGAGGATCCTTCCTGACAACTTCTCAGATGAGAGGAGCAAGCAAAGAGGGGCTCTTGCAAGGAATTCAAGAGCACTCAGGCAATGCTGCGGACTCCCTCATGTTTGACCGAGCCACTCACTGTCCTGGCAGGAGACTCTTGGTCTACTTTGTCTGGAGGTCAGAAGCTCTCGGATGGCGCAGACTCTAGAAGTGCTGACCCGAGAGCTGCTGCTGCTGCTGCTGCTGAGAGAAGGGCAGCAGCAGCAGCTGCTGCTGCCTCCCAAAAGTGACACTCTGACCTTGGACTTGGGTGTGGCGACTAGTGCTCTCCGTTGTCTAATCATATCACAGTGACCGTACTGAACCTCAGGCTCCGCAAGGGGTGAGTGTGTCGAACTAGAAGAAATTACTGATAAAAGGACCCGAGCCGATCCGACCATGATGTAACTTAGTACCGTCCGAGAATCGCCGGAACGGGGGCCTTGCCAGGGTTCAACGGTTGCCCATCGCCCTGCAGACAAACGGTGAGCGGAGTCACGGCTGCGCTGCCCAGTCACTCAGGCCAGTGGCACACTGCGGCCCGGCGAGTGGGCGATCGGGCTGATGATCCGATCCGGTGATGGATCGCATGGGCCAGCGGCGTGCCAGTCAAACTCTCCTGTAAACCATGACGACCCTTACTTGAAGGTCGTCCGAGTCATCATGCTCGGATGGCAGTGAACTTGAATGCGGCTTGGAAACTCGCAAGTCTAACAAACTCGTGCTCCGTCAACCGTTCCGATCAGCGGACCCGGCCGGCCGGGGCCCCGCCGGAGGGCATCCGGCGAGTCATCACAGACCGGACATCCGATGCCATGATCCGTCCGATCCTTCCACTCTCCCGATCACTGACTTCCGTCATCCGTTTCGGTACCTCGAGGGTGGGGTAGGAAAAGAGTGATATCGGGGGGTGAAGGTGATCGTTCTAATCTGAGATCCATGTCCCAATGGAATTGGACTGCAAAGAGGGAATCGGAGGAGGGAGGGAGGGAGGGGAGGGAGGGAGGGAGGGAGGGGAGGGAGGGAGGGAGGGAGGGAGGGAGGCAGGGAGGCAGGGAGGCAGGGAGGCAGGGAGGCAGGGAGGCAGGGAGGCAGGGAGGCAGGTGAGAAGCTGGCAACCAGGAAGAGATGGAGGAAAGTTCTGCAGCTATGGTAGATCCTGGTGCTTGAAGCTGAAATAGACTGAGAATATTTCGGGAAGGGAGCGATTTGCGGGATAGCCGCTCATGGAAAGAGCAGTGGAAAGAGCAGAGCAGGACACCTAGGATGATGACAGGATGTAGTAGGAGATCAGCAATGAGAGAGCCATTTGTCTGATTGACTGAAGTTGACACATCTATCGCTTTCTGTTCTCCATTCCGACTTTGTTTCACGAATTGCTGGGTCGTATATTCGAGCATTGCTCCTTCCTCTCTCTAACGGTCTTCTTACTTCCAGCCGTGCTGGCACAGTTCTCAAGGAACGAGCCGCAAGATGGCCAAGGGAACATGATCTCGCATTTGCACTGAGTGCGCCTATCGTCCTACTGGTTGCTCAAAATGCTCCTTGTAGAGCGTTATCACTCGGTGGAGATAAGGGTTGAACGAAACAGACAGAGACGAGTTCTGATAGCGAAGAATGCAATCTTTGCTACGCTGAGCATTGTCCTTGTTGCATCATTCGCGCTCTGGGACGGACGCCATGGAAGCACCGATCGTTCCTTGCTCGCTCCAGTCTTGGAGAGATCGGATGGTTATCTTGGTAAGCTGGATCCTGGGATCATTGCGAACATGAACCTCTCTGTTGACCCCTGCGACAACTTCTACGAGTATGCCTGCGGGAGTTGGATAGCGTCGGCCAAAGTGCCCACTGACCAGAGCGAGCTGCTGTTGAGCTGGGACGAGACACAGGATAGGGTTGACCTTGAAGTGAGGAAGTTGATGGAGCAGCAAGCGCCCGAGGACTCTCCCATGGAGAGCGTGAACAAGTGGTACAAGTCATGCATGGACGAGGAGAGCATCGAAGAGGCTGGGGCCTCGCCCCTCAAGATCTTTCTGGACGAGATCGACGCCGTTGAGACGGAGGAGCAGCTTCATTCCATCATCGCTCGTTTCATCAACACGGGGATCTTCATCTTCATCAACTGGCGGGTCGAGCCCTACGTTCTAGATCGCGGCTCGTACGCTATCATACTCGACCTTCCTAACTTCATGCTGCCCAGCCTGTCCTACTACCTTGACGCGAACGAGGCGGGCATGCGAGAGGTCCTCCGGACCTTTTTGATCGATACCGCGATCCTTGCAGGCTACCCTCGAGCAGAAGCTGAGAACTCAGCTGAAGAGAGCATCTCGATCGAGCAGGAGCTGGCTGGCTGGATCGCTCAGGAGAACGATGCCATGCCGCAAGCAGGCCCAATGGCGGTGAACATGAGCACCCTGGTGGAGAGGTACCCGGGGATCCCTTGGCGGGCCATCTTGACGAGGCTGACGGATCACTGCGAGACCGTTGGCTTCGACTGCCTGCAGTCGGTCAAGAGAGACGCTGACAAGTTCCTCTTCATCGACCTCTCGTACCTCGAGCGCTTGTCCTTCGCCCTCCACACTCGACCTGCAAGGAGCTGGATCCCCCTCCTGCGTCACTCCCTCATCCACTGGGCAGCTCCTTTCCTCGACTCGAGGTTCAGGAACGCAGAGTTTCAGCTGAGGAGGGGGCTGACGGCTGGCTTCCTCCCTCAACCGCGGTGGAAGTTCTGCATCCAGAGGACCGGCGAGGCGCTTCCGTCCATGACAGACATGATGTTTGTGAGCAAGTTCTTCACGCCGCAGGACAGCAAGGTGGGAGGAGAGGTCATCAGACGCCTGAAGACCTCCTTCATCCATCGCCTGCAGAACGCGAACTGGCTGGACGACCCCACGAGGAGGAGAGCGCTCAGCAAGGCCGAGAGCATGGCTCTTAACATCGGGGCTCCTAATAACTACATGTTCCTCCGCCAGCCAGTCTCTTCCAGCTTCTTCAACAACAGGTCCCCCTCCTCCCCCTCCCCTTTTTCCTTGTCTTCCCCAGCAGCCGTTGACTTGCTGCCCCTTCGTCCTCCTCCTCCTCCTCCTCCTCCTCCTCCTCCTCCTCCTCCTCCTCCTCCTCCTCCTCCTCCTCCTCCTCCTCCTCCTCAACCGTGACCATGACAGTAGCTCGCAGCTTGAAGGCGGGCTCTCTGAACTTCCTTGAGAAGCTCAGCCTCGTGGACGTCAAAGTTGACAGGTCGCTCTGGAAGCTCCCAGCAGACACTGTCAACGCCTGGTATGACGGAGCAGTCAATGCCATCTTCATTCCCGCCGGTTCGCCCCTCCCTCCCTGCCTGTCACTCGGTCCTGACATCCTCTCGTCCCTCCTCTCTTGCTTCATGTTGGTCTCTCCTGCTCCTCCTCGCCCCCTTCTGCTCTCCTCCTCTCCCCTCCTCCCTTTCTCTCGCAACAGGGATTATGCAGCCTCCTTTCTTCGACAGGAGCAAGCTTGCAGCGCAGAACTTCGGAGGGATCGGGACAGTCGTCGGGCACGGTGACGATTAACCACGAAGTTGTCAGCACCTTTTGACACTAGCATGAAGAGATTACCCACGGTTTTGACACCAAGGGGTCGCTGGTGACCTGCAGCCTTGACAGTTTGACTTTTTTTTTCTGACCGTTGAGCCCTGCAGCTGAACGAGAACGGAGAGCCGGAGTCCTGGTGAGGGTTGAAAGGTGCTCGCCGCTCAGTATCTGACTGGTCAAACGCTTTTTTTCCAGGTGGACCGCGGAGACCAGGAAGAGGTCTGAAACTGTGCTCGAGCAGCTGGGCTTGTGACCCAGCGGGCAGGTTCCAGGAGAGACTGAGCTGCATCGAGGAGCTCTACGACAGGTTTCGGATAGCAGGTGGGACCATGGAAGAGGGAGGGGAATCTTGACTTGTGGGCGGTGAATTCTTGAGAGTTGAGAGATTCAAAGTGGACCAAGAAGAAGCTCTCTTCTCTTCTCTGTTCTCCCCTTCCTCTGCTTTTCTCTCTTCCCCCCCCCCCATCCCTGTCTTCATCTCTTCCACTCTGCCTCTCTCCCTTCCTCTCCTCTCTCCTCTCTCCTCTCTCCTCGTTGCTCTGCTGTTCTCTCCTCTCATCTTTGGCGGTTGTCCATTGTCGTCAACTTGACTAGCTGCTGTCCAGGTGTCCCGGTGGACGGGATCAACACAGCAGCTGAAAACGTTGCTGACATGGGGGGCGTGGCGGTCAGCTGCACGCCCAGCTGTTGTTGATATTGACACGTCCAGCCAGGTGTCTCTTCAGGCCTTCCGCGAGTGGCACAGGTGCATGCTCTAGAGCTCGAGCTGGAGGCTCTCTCGATGCTTTCCTCATGCTGTTCTGGCAGGGAGAAGCTCAAGTCTGAAGCTTCTCAAGGGATGGTGCAGGTCTTCTTCCTCTCCTACGCACAGGTGCACGTTCTCTTGTTCCCTCTCTTCACTCTCCTCTCCTTCCCTTGCTCCTTGTCCTCCTTCTGGGTTTCCTGCCCACTGTCCTCCTCGTCCTCTCTCTCGTCCTCGTCCTCGTCCCCAATGTCCTCCTCGTCCTGACCGCCTTCAACTCAGTTGTGGTGCGAGAAGCAGCGATCGGCCATCACGGAGAGATTTCTCGTTTCACGGGTCCTACCCATCACTGATTCTTTCCTCCCTCCCATCCTCTTCGTCCCTCCTCCTCCCTCCTCCTCTTTCCTCTTGCTTCCCTCCCCTGCTCTGCACTGCCTGTGCTTCCCTCGGTTTCCCACATCCCTCCTTCCCCCCTCGCCCTCGTTCCCCTCTCCTCCCCGCTTCCTCGCTCCTGCGTCTCACTTTTGATTCTATCTAGGACCCTCATGCTCCGAAACCTTTCCGGGTCAATGCAGTTGTTTCTCAGAACCCTTCGTTTGCAGAATCTTTCAGGTCCTCCTCATCCTCCTCTATTCCTCCTTCTGTCATCTCCTCCTGACCTCTCTGCCCTCCTGCTCCTGCTCCTGCTCCTGCTCCTGCTCCTACTCCTGCTCCTGCTCCTGCTCATCTTCTGAAGTCCACTGCAGTTGCCCTGCAGGTTCACCCATGAACCCTCATCAGAAATGTAAATTGTGGTAGTCAAGCCTAGTGTCCCTCACTCTCCTCCTCCTCCTTTCTTGCCCCGCTCTTACTTCCCCCCCCTTTTCTTTCCCTTTGCTAGTTCCCTCTCTCCCCCATCCCTCCCCTCTCTCTCCCCCCTCCCTCCCCTCTCTTCGCTGTTCACTTCTCCTCTCCTCCACCTCCTTTCCTCTGACCTTCTCTATGTACAATAAACAATAACTTGGAGAAACTTGGTACGTCAGCTGTCGAAGTGAAACTGCAGCTGCTCCTGACCAGCCTTCCTCCTCTTCTCGTTCCAACACCTCAGCGCCTCCTGCACCGCAGACTCTTCAGGCAGAGCATGGGGAGCAGAAGCTGACATCCGGAGGTAGGGGAAGGAGGAACAGAGAAGAAGGGGGGGGAGGGCGGATGGAGTTTATGGGAAGGAGAGGGAGGGAGGGAGGGAGAGGGAGGGAGGGAGGGAGGGAGGGAGGGATAAGGAGGGAGGGAGGGACAAGGAGAAGGGAGGGAGGGAAG